GAGCATCTTTTATCTCTGTCTCTCACACTATCATCAACGGCCCCAACAATTTTGTCCTATCTTACCGCGGAAATTTCGCGAGTGAGCTGGCTCTTCCGGAAGATCATTGGAATATACGACTGATTAGAATAAGTGTTTTTTTTTCGTTGGAGTGCAAGTATGAAGAGAAGCTACAGATGAGCAGAAATTGGTAAATACATCAAAATAACTAAATTATAAGGAGTGTAACAGATGACAGATTCCTGTATGTATATATATTAAAATATATGTTACACCATTACGCTATGTAAACGTAACCCTACCCAGAGCATAGACTTTAAACTTTAAAAATAAACGCTAGGAGAAAACTACTGTAATTGTGTACCCAAAATTATAAAATTATGAATTTTTCGGACAAATCACTGTAAAAATTGTTAAAATTTTTGTATTGAGGTCTAAAATTTTAACCCAAAATTTGAATTAAATATATGATAATTCTGATGTGTACTAATTAGCAATGAAATGTCACTTGTTGTCTATAACTTGAGGAGTAAATAAACCGGAATATCTTCACGACTCATATTAATCTTTATGAAAGAATTAGTTATCACACATATTATTAAATGATGTTGCATATGTTTGAAAAGAATAAGACCCCTTACCCATAACACCAAAAAATGGCTTCAAGCAGGCTGATTCTATATCTCACATATAGTGAGGACATTTAAAATTATTAGAAAATTAGGCAAATTTATCATTTACCTAGTTGAAAAGGGACACAATTTCTGAAATCCAATATATTATTTTATTTTTAAGGTAGTGTATTAATAGATTGCGACAACTGTGTCAGTATGTTGCAAAGTTTGAATTATGCCGAGGTAATTCCTATAACATTTACATGAGCTTTAATGAGAAGCTGCATTTTTCCCATAGTGGGTATTTCAATATTCGTGCTGAATAATGTTGAATAACAAGTTGACGAATCCGTCGTTTTTCATCACATTGCTTCATTTTATATGAAAAACCAATTATATGAATGTCTAAAAAATAAAACAAGAGCCTGACATTACGTCAAAAATAGTGTTAGCCTTAAAACAAGTCGACGTACCCTTATAAGAAGATCGTATTTCGAAAATTGAACGTTAGAGTGGCGAAATTAGTTTTTCTATGAATACCATTTGTGAACGGTGGAAACAGACCTAAAGATATGCAATTAAGGAAATGGCTATTTCAACTGCGTAGCGGTTTAGTAATCTGTTCAACAGGGCAAAACGAACGTGTTTGATCGGTCGTGATACCCTTAAATTTATTTTTGAACATATGATTGCACTTAACTCAGGTCGCAATATGTCTTCGCACAAAATATCGTACCGAAAGAGAGGGAAAAATTAATGTTAAGAGTCGTTAATACGCTGATGTGGGATTTCTTGTGGTTTAATTTGACTGAATCAGATAGCTAAATAAAATCGTGAAATAGTCATGGCCTATCTTGACGTACGACCTTATTTGATTATAAAATTGAGGAAAAATATATATGATATATCTGTGATAATATCAACTTTAACTTTGAAATGGCCGATACTCACATTTTTTATACAAACTCAAGGCTTTTATTTTTTCCATGTACGTAATAAATGTTAGCTCAATTTCGATAAAAGTCTAGTTACACTCTTCTCAGATGGGCACGTAAAAGTTTCGTGATGTCAAAACTTTGTTGAAGTAAGAGCAAATATTGGATGAAACCATTACTTATTCAGTCACCTTTCAACTATTATTTTTAACAGTGAACAATGCTCATAGTTGTCTAACTCGTAGTTCATGTTCACGCATTTTACGGAATAATGAGACAACACATTATCGAAATAATGTCCTGCACGTATGAATGTTTTATGGAACAAATGCAAATCGACTGATAAGTATTTGCAAAAATATATTACACATATTTGAGGACATGAAGTTTCATTGTTAAAATGTTGCATGCATTTGCATGACATTCATAAAATGCTCATATACACCTATATGTGATTGTGTAGTAAAAATGTATAGCGAAACTTCAGCTTCAGCTAAATGCAAGATAAATGTACAACTGTCTTAGTGTATACAAGGGAGGCAATGAGTAGATCCAATTGTTACCCTTACGGTTACAGGTATACTTAATTGATATGTTGTAGGCATAGTAATCTAGTAACCAATATTAAATGATATCATTTTTCCGGAAGCCAAGTTCTTATATTATACAGGGTGTTCCGTAGTTGAAAGGTCATAGTATCTAGTATGGATAGACCTTTTCGTATCTGAAAATAAAAAAACTCTCAATTCAGTTTTTACGGATACACAAGATGATATCTCCAATACGCAAAATTCTTATATCACATTATCTAAACACTGTTAAACTGATTTTACTGAAATTTGGCACGTAAACAGTTATCTGGCAGTAATCTAAAGCTAAAATCTAGGGCCGGTCTCATTTTTTTTATATCAAAATCACACCTTTCAAGCTGTTTGGCTATGCAAAAAAGCCAATGAGTGGTGCTGATTAATTAGCAAAATAAATTGATTCCATCTCCTTTGGTTTTTATGTTAAATATTTTGATTTATTCAAATATCTCATTTGTAGCAGTTTTTGTGACACAAAACTCAAAATTTCAAAGGTTTTTTGGTTTCATCAACACTTTATAGAATAATGCTTAAAGTTGAACTACAGGTGTTTTGGGAACTCAAAATTCCAGGGTCGGGTTCAATTTTTTTTATTGTCTTGTATTTTATTTTTGTGCAGCGCCCTGTCAGTTATGTTCCGGATTTAGTATTATTTCACAGAAGAAATGATTTAAATCAGCATTTTCGTGCTTTTTCTTTCCACAACCCTACGTTATATTTAGTTACATCATGCACACACGGTACATCATACTACGTTTTTGCGGATTTTAACTTAATTTGATATCGGTCTGAAATGTTACATTTAGTGGAATTTGCATATTAAATACCGTTTCCCTTTTAAGCAGAACTCATGTTGTTGTAAAGGGTTGTCCAATAGGGACGCAGGAAAGTAAACGTCAATTTGACATAGACGCCATCTTTGTTTTCTGTCACCGACATGTCATTTTGTTAGTTGAATGTTTACCATTGATCGCTATGGAGTCGTATTCGATTGAAGACCGCATTAAAGTTATTCAAGAGCACTACAAAAATGGTGCAAAAATAAAAAACACGTTTCGCGCGCTTCGTGAACATTTCGGTCGCAACAACCGCCCAAACGATACAACCATCGATCGTCTGGTGCGTAAATTCGAGGCAACAGGTTCTGTGGCAAATCTGCCAGGCTCTGGCCGGCCAAGGAGCGTTCGCACACCGGAAAATATTGTTGTTGTGAAGGAGAGTGTGAGAGACGATCCGAAACAATCAAATCAACAACCCGTCGATCCCAAGAATTGGGCATTTCGAGAACCAGTTTGCTCCGCATTCTCCACAAGGATTTGAATGTACACGCCTACAAGATCTAATTGACGCAAGAGCTGCGTCGGGCCGACCATTTTTCGCGCCGAACGTTCTCAGATTGGCTCCTTGAACACCGCCAAATTAATGCCAATTTTTCATCAAAAATCATGTTCAGCGACGAAGCGCATTTCACTTTGAATGGGACGGTAAACAAGCAAAACTGCCGCATCTGGGCGAACGAAGATCCCCGTGAGTATCAAGAGCAGCCGATGCATCCTCAAAAACTGACTGGGTGGAGTGCAGTGGTCAAAAGGCATCATCGGACCTTACTTTTTCGAAAATGTGGCCGGGGACGCCGTTACCGTCAATTCTGAGCGATATCACGTGATGATAGAGGACTATTTTTTGCCGCAACTTGAAGGAATCGATATGGGCGATGTTTATTTCCAACAAGACGGTGCAACATGCCACACAACCAACGTCAATATCCATCGATTGCAGTCCTTCTTCGGTGATCGCGTGATTTCGCGCAGAGGAAATGTGCCATGGCCACCAAGATCGTGCGATTTGACTCCCTTGGACTTCTTTTTATGGGGATATTTGAAAAGCAAAGTCTACGTCAACAAACCAGCCACCCTCCAAGAACTCAAAAACAACATCATTGCCGAGATAAATCCCATAGAACCGACCATGTTGCAAAATGTCATTGAAAATTTCGACCATCGCGTGGACGTCTGTAAATCCAGTCGTGGTGGAACATTTGAGCGATATTATTTTTCATACATAAATGGTATAAATGAACCTTCAAAATAAAGTACCCAACTTGATTTGCATATCAACCTTTCTTGTTTTAATATGCGTTTACTTTCCTGCGTCCGTTTTGGACAACCCCATATATCAGTTCGTAGAATTAGATCATTGAAAAAGTTACCGAAAAGATAAATGGGGCACATAGCAATAATTCCATATTTTATTTATATCATCTATTACTCTTTTTTCTACTAACAAGGTCAGAATATAAATAAAAAGAAATAAAAATCTGAATCCAGTCCTGAAATTTTGAGTTTCCAAAACATCTTTAGTTCAACTCCAAATATTATTTTGTAAAATGTTAATGAAATCAAGCAGATAAGACTTAGAATTTTGAGTTCTGTGTCCCATAAGCTGATGGCTTCACGCGATCTCAGACCATTCAACCTATTGTCGCAACACACTTTATAGGAAGAAAGAGAAGAAAAATGAATGAACTGTCACCTGGAAGACAGATAAAAAATATACTGTCATTATCATCACTGTACTTGACAATAAACAGGAATTTAAACTTATAATATATGGTTTGATTCTTCTAGTCAATGGAGTCCTTTAGATCCTTCAAGGGTCATTGCTACTAGTTACATAAATATTATACATGGCTGCTTATGAGTTTCTTACGGAAGTACACGAAAATTGTTGGATAGAGCGTTAACCTGCTTTAATTTTAGACTTCAACCCTCTACGCTCTGAGAAATCGCATAATTGCTCTATATAAGATGTAACTAAAAAAAAGATCATGGTGTATCTCAAAAAAAAGATGTTATTTTCAAATGTTTGCTTCTTCTGTATTTTTGGAACGAAGCATTATAAGATCGTCAGAAAATGAAAGCCTCAGAATAGTCCAAAAAATCACGTTTCGAACGTTTGGCCTGTCTTGGAAATAATTGCTGTAGACAAGCAAGAAAGGGGTTCAATACAATGATTTTGTACCAAATTCGCTCAGTGAGAATTTTTCTACGAAATGCTTTTCCTCAAAAGGTCGACCGCTGGGGACAACAATTATTATAAAGTGTGGATCTAGCTTGAAGCCTTATGGGAGTAAGTTAGGTTAGTTGTGTATGCCAATCACTGACAGATAAAAATTGAGGCCAACATACCATTAATTTTTCCATAAGCTTGGATCCACTATGACGATATTTAACTACCGCTATTTGGGTTACAGAAGACTCGGTTCGGATGGCATGGAAGTAGTTGATGATTCCTGGCGAGTCAGACTGCCCTCGCTACTATGGATCCCTGTTTTTGTATTCGGAGCTTTGCTGTATTTCGTCGATATATTCGAAATAGAATTTTTGTCCTTGCACCCCACTATAGAAAGCATCAAGGATTTCACGTACGACATCCACAAAGGTGAGTGTGGAATTTTGTATAATTTCTTGTGAAAAAAAGATTATAGTCGTGGTTCATAGAATAAAATGGACCACTTGCCTTCTCGGACCGTCTGCATTTAGTTGGAACTGATTATTGACTGATCGCTTGTGAAATTACCCATAATATATTAAAAAAATGAGTCCATGTGATGCATTTCATTTTTGGGTGCTTGCCTTGATGATAATTTTGCTTTCAGCGCCTGCTAACCCTCCAAAGGTCAACAATTAAGCCCAAAAGATCTGGGCAGGTAGGCACCTCATTCTTTGAAATACATCGCAAGGACTATGTTTTGTAATAATTACACAATTATTATTGCTTCATCCACAAAAAAAATCACGGGGATTGGAGGATGGGAAAACGGCAATGAATGCACCATGAAGTATCTACGTAGGTGAATCAAAGGCTCAGTTGGATAAACATGTTTTTCTGATTAATCTAAACTAAAAAACGAATTAACCTCAGTGAAACTTCTAGAATTTATCCTATTATTGCTCCTTAAATCCATTTTATTCATTCTATCTGGTCAAGGTCAGCTTGAAAAAATACTTGGAAAATGCTCAAAAATCTTCAGAAAGGCAATATTTTATTATATGAGAACAAAATGTATATATATATATATATATATATATATATGTATAATTAACTACTGTAATAATATCAAAGATTCAAACATAAAAGCTTAATTGCCGGTAACAAAATAAATAAAACATTCTGAGGGACTCCGAGACATAGCCCAGTCCATTCCACACCAAACAAGGTTTTTGATTGCGAAAACGAACACGACACGGTTAGGATGGGAGGTCAAAGTCAGACGGGTCTGTCTGGCAGGCACATCGCGTGGCGGCATCATGGAAGGGAGCTCTGAGGAGCAAAGCGCGTTGGTGTAGCGGTACAAGAGAGCTAGATCGCCGACGGCCCGTCTGTGCGAAAGCGTCCCGAGACTGTCTGTTAGAGAAGAGTCATCGATCAGTCGGACAGCCCTCCTCTGGTCAGCATCGAGCATAAATAATGTAGTCGGGGCGGCAGCACCCCAAATGTGTGAGCGATTCTCGAGGCTAGGCCTTATCTGGGCCTTGTATATAGTGAGAAGGTCATGCGGAGAAAAGTACTTCTGAGCCCTAAACAAATAGCCTAACTTTTTCCCAGCAGCTGCCGCTCTTGACGAGATGAGTTCGTACCAGACCAGGTCCTCGGTGATCTGTATTCCGACATGTCGAAGTGAATGGCTCTTTGGCAGAGCTCGGCCATCCATCGAAACCGGATGAGCTTTAGGACGCTTTTTGTTCATCAAGGTACATAGTACTGTGTTTTGGAAGCATTAAACTGTACAAGATTGTTGCGTCCCCAAGCAGTGATAACCTCCAGGTCTCTCGTCAGAGAGGAAGTCGTCGCTAGTCTTCTATTTTCCAGCTCAGCGGCAGAGATCTGCTGTCACTCTGAATTCCTGCATGTAGAGCGCTGTCATCAGCGAAGCTACGGAAAGGAGGTCGTTGATATGTAAGAGAAACAGTGTTGGAGCCAAGACCGATGCCTGGGGAACACCCGCGTTGACGTTGTGGGATGAAGAGAAGAATCCGTCAATTACGACGGATATCTTGCGGCCAGAGATAAAGTCAGCCACCCATCTGCAAAACTTTTCTGGGAGGCCATAGGATGGAAGTTTGCTTAAAAGGGCAGCGTTTCGCAGCTGATCGAATGCTTTCGTGATGTCAAGAACAACGATATAAGCCTCACCATAAGACTGGATGAGTTTACTCCACAATTGCGTGACCTAAGCTAGGAGGTCCCCTGTGGATCGCTGGTGCCAGAAACCATACTGCCTATCGCTAATCAAGCTGTGACGTTCGAGATAGTCCAGAAGCTCCCGATTTAGGCACTTCTAAATCACCTTACTTATAACAGAATGCAGCGCTATTGGCCTGTAGTTGTAAGGGTCGGTCTTAGATCCATTTTTTGGGATGGGTTGCAGATGAGCGAATTTCCAGTTTTCTGGGAAGGTGCCAGAGGTATCTGGAAGAGACGCGAAAGAATTGAACAAGCTCTGCTGCACACCTCTTCAGTACAGTGGCAGGAATCAAGTCCGGTCCAGAAGCTTTGTTGATGTTGAGCGACAAGAGCACTCGTCTTACGATCTTATACCTGAATGTTACTTCCCCAATAGTGTAGGGAGCCCTTTGAATTGACGATACTTGGGCGTTGGAGGGGATGTCCATGGTGTAGTTGGCAGCAAAGATATTGGCAAGGACTTCTGCCTTGGCCTTTGAGTCTGATACAATCGTTCCATCCTGACACGTAAGTGGTGGAAGGCTGCTGTGTGAGAGTTTCTTTTCAATCTGCTTGGCCAGCGTCCAGAAAGACTGGTTGCCATTGCGCTGTGACCCTGGTTTAGGCACTTTCACTGTATGAGGGATGTATTCCTCCATTCCGACATTTTGGTTATCGAAGAACAGTCAGCCGACGCATCCGCGTCAGTGAAACAGACATCTCTCCAAGGAAAGGTAGAAAAGAAGTATCTGAGCCCCTCCCAGTCGGCATGTCCGTAATGCCAAATGCCACAGCGGGTTCTGACCGAAACCTAACCTCCACAACACCGTGGTCTGAGCTACCCAGGGGGGACAGGACAGCAGTGCTGTAACGGACAGGATGCGTGGTCAGAAAGAGATCCAGCAAGCTACTGGCATGTGACGAGATGCGGGGAAAAAAGTAGGGCCCGTCACCAGCTGGGTCAGCCCTTGAGTAAGAGTGAACGCTTCAACTGCTGAAGCGGGGTGATCGATGTTCAGGAAGTCGATCTTGACGGCGAGGTATTCAAGAAGGTCATCCCAGTTATGGTTCGAGGGAGAGCGATAAAGGCAGCAAATACACTTGGGGGATGTTTTGGGGTTGAGACGAAGCCACAGAATATCCTTCCGATCTGATTCCAGAGATACATCTTTGCAGCAGGAAATACTGCTACGGACAAAGACCACAACTCCACCGTTCTTTGTTAGATTGGAGTGCACCTCATAACTTGGGAAGCTAAGATGGTTAATCTATGCAGACTCTGAGATTTTTGTCTCCGCCAAGAAAAGCATGGCGGGACGATTGGATTGCAAGTAGTGTTGCTGTTAATCCCGCAGATTTTCGCGAAACAAATTTTATCTTCGATGTTCCCTCGAGTCCACGCTCCACCCGTCCATTCCGAGAATGGTGAGAGTTCACATCCAGAATTCTTAGTACTCGAGGGATCCATCATCATTAATTTCTTTGATTTGGAAGTTAACCGCTGCATAGCTTAGGTGTGGAAACATGCGCACATTTATAAGACACCCTGGAAAAAGCTAGCGGGTGGTACCGCCTCGGTCGACTGGTCCTTGTGTGAAATTTTAGTTATTTCCAAGGCCGAAAACCCTGCCTATAGACCTTGACAACGGCGGATCTGGAATATCTGGCTCCCGAAGCAAAAAGTTCGTATGGGCTCCATTGTATCCCCGGGCCCGACGCACTCTGCGTCATCTTAAATCCGTCCAAGGACCCTGACCCTTATGATATAACACACCATAGAGGACCCACATGCCTCTTGATATCAGTAATATACACGATGAGGGAGAAAAATGTATACCCCGCAGTTGTACAACATATGAAAATTTTAGTGCTTATGAAATTCAGCGCCGATTACTCTGACAGCTTCGGAAAAATCACCCTTTTATCACGCGTGACGAGACTTGGGTTTATTACTAAATCCCTACATTGAAAAGAAAAATGATAGTAAACTACTGGGGAGAGAAAAGATGGCGGCTGTTTACGGCAAAAACTGTAAATATAGTATTCTGAGGTTCCTGCCTATCATTGTGAACTTCTTCACCAAGTTCGAGCTATTTAACGGTCAAAGGCATAACTTCCCGACCAGAAGGGTGTTGACAATGTCAGTCTCCACACTGTAACAGAAACAACAAAAATTGACTAATACGCACTGCGACATACTTTTGGAACACTCAAGTTTGTCCTTGAAACATTACGTCTGTAATTAGTTCGCTGGAAGTCCGTAAATTTTTCTGATGATGGGCTCGAAAAGTTTCTACAACGTTGGAAGAAGTGTGTAAATAATCAAGATCAAGATCTGCTTAGAAAAATAACTCAAATCTGAAATGGAAAGGATTTTAGAAAATAAGTGTTTTTTCGTAAAAGCTGATTTAAATTTGATCCACCTACGTATAAAGGATGTAAAGTCAGCAGGCTAAATAAACAATTTGGGCATTCGAATAAGGGCTAGTCTAGACGTTCTTCGGTCCAAAGTTCTTCTCTATTTTTTTAATTTCTTTATGTAGTGATTTAAAACTTTTACATTCAAGGTTTTGCCATCAATACTCCAGGATGCAAGATCCCAGAAATGGACCCATTCGATCCTTCAGTACAGAAATTCATCGAACCGCCAACTCCAGTAGAGTGTAACAAAGGTGTTCCTGCCCTATTTGAGGCAAACTTAACTTCCATTTACATTACGAGATCTTCATTGCCTGCTTATAATGTATCTGATATCAACGATCTCAGATGCTGTTATTGGGTTATCCAGAGGATAGAACCTAAAAAGAACCAGTACGATGTGTTTATGTCAAAGAGTAGTATGTGTAAATATATCAACACTAGTGCAGAAATTAAGGATGAGTTTATCAAAGTCCAATGCTTTCTTGATAATGCCACAACTTATGTGGATACGTTTAGTTTTGTACCTATTAAAAATAGCACAAAAAGCAAAGTGATACGCTCTAAGCCTTTAAATGTGTTAGTAGTAGGTTTAGACGCAGTGTCTAGGTTAAATCTCCACAGACAAATGCCCGATACCCTTAAATATCTCCAACAGTTAGAAGCAGTGGAAATGTTAGGGTATAACAAAGTGGGTGACAATACTTTTCCAAATCTCATTCCAGTATTAACTGGTTTATTCGAAGACGAACTGATTAAATCCTGTTGGCCTACAACAAAATCATTTTTTGATAATTGCACATTTCTTTGGAATCATTTCAAGAGTAAAGGCTTCGTGACCGCCTATGGTGAGGACTCTTCTTGGATGGGTCTTTTCAACTATCAAAGGCACGGGTTCCAAAAACAAGCAACTGATTATGCTTACAATTATTTCAACAGGTATGCAGAAACACATATTGGAAATGCGCACAAAATGAACGTTAATCAGTGTGAAGGTGCCAGAATGGTTTACAAAGATCTTTTAGAATACATCAAGAAATTTGTTGTTACTATGAACAATAATAGTCTTCCATTCTTTGGGTTTTTTTGGGGTGCCAGTTTGTCTCACGATTATCTCAACCAACCGAAACTAGGTGATCCCGTCTACCTGAAGTTTTTTCAAGAACTGCAAGAGGAAGGTCATCTGAACAACACTGCCTTAGTTCTCATGAGTGACCATGGTATCCGATGGGGAGGAATACGACAAACCTACCAAGGCAGAATGGAAGAAAGACTTCCTTTTGTCTTTGTGGTGCTACCAACATGGTACAGAAATAACTACGACAGAGCTTACAGTAACCTTAAAAGAAATGCCAGAAGGTTAACAACACCATTTGATCTGCATGAAACTTTGTACGACCTGTTAGATCCATATGGCCTAAGTGGAGAGAATTTGAAAACAGCAAACAAATCTAGAGGTATAAGTTTCTTCAGAGATATCACAAAGTACAGAACTTGTGAAGATGCAGGTATAGCAAGTCACTGGTGCGCCTGTCAGCAGAGTAAGGAGTTGGACAAAAACTCATCCGTAGTGATTGATGTTGCGACATTTGCTGTTAATTACATCAATCTGGAGTTGCAAGGATATGCGCAATGCGCGAATTTAACGTTACTGGATATCCTGAATGCTAGACTGATGTCACATTCAGGGGATATTGAAGGATTGAATAATATTCAGGACTATATGATTACTATCAAGACAATACCTGGTGAAGCAATCTTTGAAGTGACAGTGAGGTACTTCGAGATTGATCATAAGTATGCTGTGATTGGTACGATAAGTAGGTTAAATTTGTACGGAAAGCAAAGTGCCTGCATTACCGATTTTCATTTAAAATTGTACTGTTTTTGCAAAAACTTCCTTTAGTGAAGCTAAATTATCAAGCGATAGAAAATTACTACTGGCTTGATTGATATCCCCAGAGTGACTGCATGATACGGTGTAAGAACATCATAAATTAAGGCACGATGATATTATATCTGTTTAATCAAGAAGGTAAATTGGTTCTATTTGAGATTGTGCTTTTTTCACTTATCCCACAGAAGTCCCTGCTTTCACAGGTCCAAAAATACTATTAAAATTGCAATGGTTTTCGGCTGTAGGAAGTTCAACTTAAAGAAAAATAATCAACTTTCTGAAGACTACCACAACACTAATGAACTGTCTGAACTTTTTTGGATTCGTACCGTTTCACTAGAGGATTTCGCATGAAACTACTTACGTGGAATAATACTCGTAATACCAAGTTCATTCATTATGAGCACAAACCTATTTTAGCATAAGATATCCATATGACAATAAAAAGCGTTTTATTTCCGTTATAATACTCCAATGCTTGGAAACACCTTCCATTTGCCCCTGGTGTCATCCAATGGTAAATGACATTTTCTTTGCAGTATTTACAGAGTGAATGTTATCATAACAAAAAGAACTCATATTCATTTTTACCTTTGATCGCATCTCTATAATCATTTTCTATACATTAATATGAGTACCGGTTATTTTCTATGTTTTTGCTGCTTCCACTGTTTTAGATCTAGACATATGTATATTTCTTCTGTATTTCTTCGTATCGGATTTTGATGAACACCACTTCTAGTTTTGGACAGAAATGATGTAAAGTCTAAAATTCAACGGTGTTTCGCACTTTGGGGTAAAATCGGCGGTCATTCCGTGGTTTGACCATCAAACATTTATTTATATGGCTACTTGAAGACTTGAAGTAAATATCGTGCTATGTGCCAAAAAATCTGTTTTTCATTTTATACTTGTAAAATGTTCTAGGTGCCATAACCAACAACATAGATAAGGCGCTAAGTGCCATGGCTATTATATTGCACTTAAAAAAATCCAACAGAGTGCGCGCTTGTCAATCGCCATAACGCCGCCGGCAAAAAATGTGCTAAGTGCCAATAAATATCACCTTGTTTATTTATATAAATAAATTATATAAATATAAATGTTATTGTTTTTATCAATTTATTTAGTTTACAAGGGGTATTTCCATTAGATCAATCAGAAATATCTAGTGTCGTGTCATTCGTTTATGAGCTAACCTATGTTTAATTTTCAGGAAGTTTTTTTTAATACATTGATTTTAGAACAAAAAATATTGCTTATCTCTATTTTGGCAGTTAGCCCATTATTAACTTCAAGTCTTCACTTAACTGCGTTTCTATGCTTAACTCCAACGTAATACACACTTTCTTTAGTGTGAGTAGTTTGCTTGTATATGGATTTTCCAAGCATCTCAAATTGCAAATATGTATTTTAACGAAACGATTGAAGCCCAGAATTATACGTGATGGTGCTAGATTTTTCATAACCTTATTACAGTCTCCAGTTCAGAGTTATTAATTCATTGGGATTATGCATTATTAGTATTCCATTTTATTTATATAATTCTATATTAGTTATTGCATCTTTTGTTTGAAAGGTTTGTCACGGTATAATTGTATTTTTTAGAGACTGATCATAAATAGAAATGATCATCGTTCATATTTTCGTATACAAAGTTCGCACAACTGAGCTTAAGTTTTGGAGTGCCAAGTTTTGGAGTGCCGTTTGGAAAAATAACTAATGGCCCTGACAACTATTATGACACTGAGCCTATAAATAGCAATTTTTCTTGAATACTTACATAAAAAAGTGCGAGATACTCATAACACTTATTGGTGTCATATTTTGTCTGATACCTTAAGGTTTGCCTTGTGTTAATTTTTTACATTAAAGAACAAGTACCAAATGATATCTTCCAATGAATCAACATAAGTAATCGTAATAGATACAACCATACAATGGACAACATAGAATTATGAGATTATAATAGGTAAGTGGATTATTAACCTGCTGTTTTGAGTACAAAATATTGTTTTACATGATTATTAAACCATTTGCATATTCATAAGCAAAAAGCTAAAATCATCATAAAAATCATAACAACCGTTTTAAGGCTTATCTTTCTGTTTTTTCTTGACCAAATCTGGAGATACAGCCTTAACGAAAATGCTATCAAGAAGTGGTAGATGTAGAATTCACTTTTTTATACCGAAGCAGTCGCGTAGATAGAAGCCACTTCTATAAGGCTTAAAGATACTGGTGGAACTGTATGCTGATAAGTAGCTATGAAGTACGAAACAGCTGTCCATGAATGGCTGTCTTCTTTTTCTGGTCGGACGGACGAAAGCATCTTGTTTGATCTGTTCAAGGCAAGCAGACGATTTCTACTCTGAGCCAGAATCATCAGCCATCTAGCATAGCAGCGGTGCGCGATCGATTCTGGTACGATAGATGGCACCTTGCGCTATCTCATGCATTTAATATAGCTGTTATACATTCCAAGAACCAGTTCAAGATTAATTTAATTCTCATGGATATGTTACGGTTAAAGTATTTACTTAGCTAGTTTATAGATTAGCTGGATAGTACATAAACTATGCAAAAGTGCGGTTATTTTGATCGAAAATCATAGATTCACTAAAATAGCTAATACTATTGGTTGGTTTGCATACTATTCAGTTCTTCTATCAAATATACAAGATTTATCGCCAAAGTACAAACCACAAGAAAGTTATATAAATTTACCAGAATTTGTGGCTAGTTCACAAACTAACCACAGTAGTTGGATGAAGTGTGAACTTAATATCACTAGTAATACATAATAACCAACTCGTTGGTTAGTATGTAAACTAACCAATCCTCTTTGGCTAATTTAGTTTAGTATAGTAAAATAATTCTCTATCAAAAATATATTTTATTTTTAGGTACAACGTAACATTTCTATTACTACTCAAAAATAAGAAAAAAGATGTAACAGAAATAGTATTTGTGTGGCAAAATATTAATAATAAACCCGAAAACATTGAAGTTCTGAAACAAATAACATTCTTATTTATTGGAGCAAGTTGCACTGTTGTGGCACTTGCTGTTACAAGTATATCCGGTAGCAAAACATTTACGATTTTGGTATATGTAAATCATAAGTATTTATCACATAATAATCATTCTTGTTTTTAGGGTTAGGTTCAGATTCACGTATTCTCTTTATACGTTGCAAAAGTTCAGTATAATCACTATCATTCATTAATTTTGAATTCTGCGACATGTGGTCATACAGTTCCGAGAGTATTTTTTCAAATTCTTGCTGTTGATTTATTTTCAATAGCTGGATGCTTATTTAGGAACGAATTTCACAAGATACGATAAATGCTTGCTACAAACCACCTATAAACCTCATTTTTCGAATAAATTAACCAGAGGATTAGTTAGTTTACAATACTAACCAACGAATTGGTTATTATATATTACTAGGAATGCTGAGCTCACACTTTATCTACCTACTGTGGATAGTTTGTATACTATCCAGCTAGTCTACAATCTAGTTCAGTAAGTACTTTAACCGTAACAGATACACTCTGCCAAAGCATTGAGTGATGTAGCATACGTTAGAGAGTAGTTCCCATAGTCTTGCGTAACAGTTAAACTTTTTTAACATTTATACTAATGACTTATGTGTAATAAATAATAAACGTTTACGTATGCCGATATTCAATATAAATACGTAGATTAAACATACTACTTTTAATATTTGCTTGAATTTGTGCTGTGACGAAAATTTACCTACCTTTTAATTCTCTTATAATTAACTTATATTTATTTGTATATAGTCATTTGTATTTAAATACAACGTGTATGATTACGTATTCTTTTCCTGTGATAATAGAAGTGAAAAATTTAAGACTAAGGTAGTTAAGTATCTAAACTTATGTTGGATTTTGTCATTTAAAAAATAAACTTTTATAGAACTGGACTAATATTGTACTTCTCACATAGGTAGAATGAATATAATATAATCAGTTTCATAAAATAGACGACCTCGTTGTAAAAACTTTTTTGTTGTATAAATACTAAACAACACTGTGATTTTAATTCTGCCTAGCTGAGCTATTTAATTTCAAATGTATGTATGTTCAATGCAGGGAGGCGCAACTAGAAAATAATTTTTTTCTGAAGATCTTTTTAGATATTTACGTAAATCAATATTTGTGTCACCACAATACGAATTGAGGTTGTCGTTGGCGGAGTTTTTAGCCGATCGCTCGGTTTTGTTAGTCTGCATATTCAATGATCATGATCATTTCTTTCAGATGCCTTCTTACGAAGTTTATATAATTCGACATATGTGACATGAATAAAAATTGTTTGTTGCTATAAAGTAGAGTAAAGTACATGATACGTCTGTTAATAATGCTGATTAAAGGATAAGAAAAATGGTTCCAACAAATTTTCTTGGGACACGGTTTTCCGCTTGCGTATATGCCGCGACGTCTGCGGCTGCCTTAACGTAGTTTGCATAAAACAAAAAATTAATGCCCGATGTTAACTTGTCAAAGAACACGAACATAAGGGAGTTATTTGTACTTCTCGTGTACTTGTGATGTTTAATGCACTTCACCTTCACCGAAGAACGTTGTCCCTATTTCACAAGTATTCATCACGGTAGAATGACAGCTGGTTATCTAGTAAATTTCAAAATTCCCCATATCGGCAAAGGACATAATTCTGACGGATCCGTCAATGCCAAGTGGACAGAGTCATATTTTGTTTTGGTTTTTTGCACGCTACAGATTCATTTTGTACTTGCCAAAAACTCTTTAGTTTAAAAAAGTTCATTTGCTCACAACAAACAAAACGCTACAAACAAATGTTTGCTAGATTTTCACCCGATTCATTATAGCCCACGTTGCAGACTAACACAAGAATGTCACTTGCTGATCTGCTGTTCACCTCAGTAGATGTCAAAGCGTGATGGATACTCGTGAAATAGAGTATATAGCGAAGTACTGCGGCTGAGAGCACAAAACATGGAGCACTACTGAGTTACGCCGAATTACTCAGAGTAACTCAACAGGGTCACTGGAAAGCGGCTCAGCAGAACTTTGGAAATGAGTGAAAACGACCCCGAAACTTGACGGAGAGCAGTGATCAAAACGAGTACCAGCTTCTCCGGCTAACAGGTTATATAGATCGAGATCCGCAGGAGTATTACGTAACTGGAAAAATGACATTATGTCGGTTTTTTTGACATCATGTAGGTTTTCCTACCACAGAGTACTAACAACATGTCTACTTGGAACTAGTTTGTCGTTCACTTCATGCCCACTTGTAGCAAGCGCGGAAAGAACTATTTGCACACGAGCCTACTTAGTCAACAAGTTGACATTTTATCGATGTTTTCGATATTATATGGTGAGACTCAAATTTGGCTGACTTCGTAATACGTATGAGAGACAAGCACGAGAAGCGTGCATGTATGTTAGAAAGAGTGCGCCGATGGCAACACGGCAAGCCGCAGCTGCGTCCGTGGCCTCGTCACTCGGGTCGCTAGGCAACGAGGTACTTGTATTTCTTTCTAACACACTTATTGCACGCTCGTCTCTTGTACACATTACGACGTCAGTGGTATATGGCTTTCACTGTATAGTATTTTTATGTAACAACCCTGTAGGCTAGACTATTAGGAAAGTGTTCATATGGCGAATTTGTTGAAGCACAGCGTTGCCAGATGGATCGGACAGAGTTTCCCCAGAACAACCACAAAAATGCCTTAGAATTGCTATTATTCAACAAAAAAACCCAAAATCACAGTTAATTAATGAAAAGAGGTAGGTGGAACGGGAGATGATTTCTATCCGCGAAACGTGTGATGTCCCCCAGCACATATCTTCAAAAAATTCCCCAAGTAAAAATCCTCTAAATTTTGGCAACATGCCAACCCTGTCAGAGCATCACTGACCACTGATACTTCAGTTAAATCCGCACGGGTATTATATAAAAAAACCTAAAAAAAGTAAAAACGGGACGAAATGTCATCTTACTGTCTAGGTAATTTTTAGAATGCAAATAGTTTATTTCACATTTGCTCGCTATGATCGCTGTTCGCTGACGTTTAAGCAACACGTACAGCTGAAAAACGAGTTCACAACAAGTGTATAACATCTTGTGCCAAGTTAACATCTTGTAGAAAAACCTATGATATGTCACAAAAAAACCTACGACATTTCAAAAAAAAACGACGAAATGTCACTTTTCAAGATACGTACTCGTATACCTGTGCCGCAGGGGTATTATGTGAAGAACCTAAAAAACGTCAAAAAGTAACCGACGAGAAGTCATCTTGCAGTCTAGGTAATTTTTAGGGTGCAAATATGTAGTTCATTCCACGTTTGATCGTTATGAGCGCGGTTTGCTGGCGTTTAAGCAACACGTACAGCTACAAAACGAGTTCACGAGTGCGACAGCCTGTGCTAAGTTAACATCTTGTAGAAAAACCTATGTTATGTCACAAAAAACCCGAAGAACTGTCACTTTACAAGATATCTACGTAATAACCGTGCCACAGGGGTTTTATGTAAAAAATCTGAAAAACTTCAAAAAAAAAAACCGATGAAATGTCATCTTGCAGACTAGATAGTTTTTAGTGTGTAAATAGTTAATTCCACGTTTGCTCGCTATGATCGCTGTTCTCTCTGACGTTTAAGCAACACGTACAGCTACAAAACGAATTCACAACAAGCGTACAACAGCTGGTGATAAGATAACCTCTTGTAGGAAAAAGGCTACGTTATGTCACAAAAAACCTAAGAAATGCCAAAAAACTCCGACGAAATGCCACTTTTCAAGATACGTAATACCAGTGCCGGACATCAAGTTTCGGGGTCGCTTTTACAGCATGAATAGCGGAAAGAGGTGCGTTTGTAAATCAATGTAATACTGTACACAGTAATGGAATGTAGATTGTTCGATGAAATTTTACTCTGGAATACTGTGAAACTTTATTTTTAGAACGCCAAAATAATTACAGAGTCATATAATGACACTTGACGACAGCCGACTAATTTCTAACTACGTTTTCTGGGGCCATTTTACTTATTATAAGAAACGCTATGGATGTGGAGCAACCTATTCATCGTGAAAAATATATATTCTGACAATGAGCACTATTTCCATACCCAAATAAAGTAAAACAATGAACCATGAAAATGACAAGTTAGAGAACTCTTATTCCCAAGTTTTGAGCTAGAGAAGAAAACACAGTTTTGACATTGCAGAAGGATTACCTTGTTCTTTACCGAACGCATGAACAGGTATACGTCAAACCATTATGAACGCTAAAATTGTTGTTGTTGTTCTCGATAAATGTTTCCAATTGATATTTTCAAACTGTCTAGTTATAGATGAAGCAGCTATGAACCTCCATTCTTGCACTATCTTGTTATTTCTATTATTCAGGAACATCTTAAATGTACATTGTGACTCTGAGTCATAACATTATCAGTTTTTTACCATCCTTCATTGTCTGCTATCGGTTTAATGTAAGTTTAATGCAAAAAAAAACAAAATTGATGAAAAAACAACCTAACAATCTTACACATTGTCAATTTCGTTATCCCCACTATTTCGGAGCGTTTAACACCGAATAAAGAGCTGGTGCGTGAGGGGCCAAGGGATTTCAAAAATGAGTAGCTCAGGTGCGTGACACTCTAGATTAGAGCAATGGAACGGTATTGACAGGTGGTGGGCAGCTCCGTTTTACTCCGAGTAACACGAATGAGGCACTGGAAAGCGGCTCTGTTATATAGGCTCTATGGCACAAAACCTGACACCCTGACAGTTTGTGGGTTTGTGCCTGACAGTTCCACACTCGTGTCACAGATTAGCCCGTGTTCTTGTTTGTGGTTATGGGAATTAAAATAGTATTCTTGTATCTTTTCAGTTTGTGCCTTTCATTTATTCAAAAATAACTTTCAATATTATAAAACCATTGCTAAGCTACAAAAATGTCCATCAGTTTTACTAGTATAGTCAGCAGATGCTGTATCAGATCATTGGAAGATAAATTTGTATTATTAAGGTGAGTTTATTATTTCCTCACTGACCAATCTTTTCCCATTTTATTCAATATTTTAGTGTAAATAATAGCAGCTTGGTACAAACTCGTGAGAAATCCTTATACCCAAATTACCCTAGACTACGAAACCCTACTTGGTTTACAAAGAAAATCAGAGCTGTAAGTATTTTAAGAAATATTAATGTCCATTCCAAATGTGTTTCTATCGTTTTAGGAGAGTACAGAACTGATAACCCACGAAAATCAAGACTTTTTAAAGGAAGTAGTGCAAGATAGATTCCATGATGAAGTTGCCCATGAAGAGATAACACAAGTTGAGTGGACACCTAATCTTCAAAGAACGGGTGTAATAGCAAGGAAAATAGGGGTGTATCCACTCTGGTTTAAAGATGGCAAACAAATTAAAACAACCTTACTACAGGTTTTAGACAACCATGTGATAAAATACTATTCCCCAGAAGAATATGATCCACCAAGAAAACGAGTACAAAAAATTTATAATAAAAAAGGTTGTCTTCTATTAGGAGCTGAAGCACAGGATCCATCGACATTTACTAGGGAATACTGTGGCCTTTTTAAAGACTCTGGTGTCATTCCAAAGAAGACATTGGGCAGATTTTTCATCAGTCCTAATGCTAGACTTCCTGCTGGGACTCTCGTCACTGCTAAGCATTTTCAAGTTGGTAATGTAGTGGATGTTAGAGGAAAAACGTAAGTCATACTGTGTTTCAATTACCTACTTTAAGCCTCCCTAGTACCCAGTGTGACTTTAAGTACCATAGTATGATGTGCCTTTCCAAATAAGTGAAGTGGTGTGGCTACACTTCCTTTTCTTTTGTTTCCTCCAGTAAGCAGAACAGGAAGTGTACAGGTACAACCATTGGAACTAGGGAGACACAGCAGTGATCTTGCTGTGTCCACTGCCCCAGTCTGAGAATTAACAATGCTGACTCCAATAACATATAAACACATTTTTGTCTTCTCATTGTGTTCTTTCATTTGTGTTGGGAATTGAATAAATAAAAACATAATTTAGCACCAATCAAACAAAAATGGAATTAATAAATTAAGATGTGTAAATTGAGCCTAGCAGGAGGGACATATTCCTAGACCTGAAATATAGAGATAAAAAGCAGATTCTAGAGAAATTAATCAATGTACTTTAGATTGCAGATAAATCCTCTTTCTTTTTCTGATATTGTGCTGGGTCCCTTAACCATAGAAAATACAAGAATGTATAATTTTGAATTAAACATTTTGTTTTACAAATACTTTTGAAAAAACTGAATAGTGATTCTCTTAATCAAGCACTGGAATTTTGTAACTCTTATAACAAATGAATAATTATGTGACAACTACAGATGCATGTTTTACATGGGAGTATATGGAGGAGTAAATCATGGGCCTGGCATGTTATTTACCAGGTTATTTCAGTACATTCAGTGTTAAATGCCACCTTCTGTAAATATTGTACTGATGGAAATTAAAAATTTGTTGAAATCCAGAAGTATATTAGAACTATTACTATGACATGTCAACTTTTTTCTTATTCTTGAAATTTAGACGTAATAATTGAAATCTATATTGATTAGTTCATTCTGATTTTATACAGATACCTTTCTAATTAATTTATGCAAACAACTCATAATAGCATCATTATCATTAGGAAGTATGTTACTTGCTGATATGAGTATTTTGCATGTCACTAAATGATTGACATGTTATCACATTTTGATGTGTTGAGCCATAGTGAAAAATAGTGTATAGATTGGCAAAGAACCTTTATACTTTTAGGATAGATCGTGGTTTTCAAGGTGTGATGAAGAGACATGGTTTTAAAGGAATGCCAGCTTCCCATGGAGTAACAAAAACACACAGAAGAGGTGGTAATATTGGAGGTGGTGGTGAAAAAGGCAGAGTTTGGCCAGGTACCAAGATGCCAGGACATATGGGAAACAGGTATCTACTTTATTAAATTATTAAAAAAGCTATTCTGGTTGGCATATATCTCAAAAAGTACATTTCCTAAAGAATAATGTGGTAGAACAAAGCTGTAAGGTTTGAAGGTCAAGACGGTCTGCTTATATTTATATGAAACCATATTTTTGACACTGGAAATGTAACTAATGGAAAATTTTAAGTTAAAGTATGCCTGACTACGAGTTTGACCAAGATCTTCATGGGTATTTGAGGGTGTGCAGGAAGTAGGGAACAGACAAAATATCTCTAAAAATACATTTCATAACGAAAAACGTTATGTAATAAAGTTGTAAGATTTGAAGAATTCATCTAATGGTGACCTTGTATGTGACTCTGACCTTCAATCTCATTTGAAGGTCAAGATGAAATTTAAGTTCATACCCTTGTCAATGAACCTGACCAATTGTCAAGGTTATATTAAGATTGGGTGAATTTTCAAGTAAACTGCTTACTTTTTTGTTGAGGGCATAAAAAAGCGGAACATTGAAGTTAATTTATTGTGGCATTAAAATGTTGGATAATACATGTTCATTACCAAAATAACTATTAAATTACGTGAATATTGAATTTCTTTCTCTGAAACCAATCTCCTTCTCACTAATTCAAAACGAATTACTCTATCTCCACGCGAGCGGAACCTCGAGTTCAGTCTAGTATTAATGAAGACTATGAAAAATACCTTCTACTAAAAAGAAATGAATTTTACTATTTGGTTCTATCTGTCTTATTTCCATTTTAGGTACCGAATAGCATTTGGTTGTAAGATACTTAGGATGAACACAAAACATAATGTTCTTTGGGTGACAGGGCAAGCTATTCCTGGTGAAACTAACTCAATAGTATATGTTTATGACACCAGACTGCCTCTCAGAAAACCACAAAAGCCATTGCCATTCCCAACATTCATAGGTACAGCTGATGATCTTCCTGAAGATATCTATGATGAGTCAGTCCATTCATTTGGAGAACCATCTATCATGTTTAATGAGAGTTAAATTTTTTTAATTTGTTTCATAGTAGCTGTAGGAAATAAAGTTTGTGTTGACTCGCATTTGTATTTTGTGTGTTCAAACTTTAGCAATGTTTTAATTCACTTTTCAGTAGATATTGTGAGATCACCTTGATTAAAAAATTGATGGCACAGCCCTTGATCTGATCTAGTTAATATTTCAGATCTGATGCTACAAAAATTTTTATTGGAAGTCTGATAAATAGAATCACCTAAAGTTAATACATTTTTGTATTTTTACCTACTCCATTTGGGGTCTTCTTTGAGAAGACAAAATGAGTAGGGATTGGTTGATAATAAAAAAGGCATAGTAGACGTGATTATATTCAATGTTGTACAGGAATTATACAAAGTATTACTAGACAAAGAAGGGGTCACTCTTTCTCATCTTCACTGTCACTATTACTACTTTCTTTATCATAACTATCACCAAAATCATCTGAATCGAAATCTTCATCTTCCTCTGATACTTTCAACTGTTTTAACTTATTCATCAAAGCATTTTTTTCAGCATCTTTATCTTTTGGTTCCTCATCATCTTGTTTTTTCTGTTTTCCTAATTTATCCATATATCTTAGGAATGTTCTTCTTCTACGCTCTGGCAAACTTTGTAGGAGATCTTTCATTTCATTGTCTAATTTTATCTGTAAAGGTTCAAATGATTAGTACCAACATATTTTTGATAACAATTCTTCTTAATCAAAACTAGTAAAATTGTACAACACAATGCACCTACTCTAAGAAGCTATACGTGGATGTAAAACCTTGAATGTAGAATTAATGTTATACCTGTTCATCCTTTGATGGTGGTGCGGGTACAATCTCCTTTTTTTGGCAGCACTTTGTGCAGGTTTCTAGTTTCTTTCCACAGTCAGTGCACATCACATGGTAAGCTTGTTTGACTGTCTTCAGTCCACATTTTACACATGTTTTTGGTTGACTCAAAGGCTTATATTTTTTGTATTTGATCTTCCAATCTATGATGTCTTTACATCTTACACATACATCACTGACCTAACAAGAAAATCACCAATATAAAAAATTAAACCACTAATTTTGTTTATAAAAAACTTGAAAATATATTGTGCCAAATATGATTTTTAGCAATACAGGGTGGGGTTTTCTTTTACACGACGTGTAAGAGAGGGGAAATAAGCGGATTTTCTTAACATATACACCAATGTCTTGGGAGAACCGAGATATTGGTCTCCGCAAACTCAATAAAACCTGAACCAGACCGAAGCCTATCCCTCGACCACGTCCACAGCGCCAGCGAACAGTTATACGACTACGATGTAAATACGCTAGTATGTAACCTAACCTAGACGCCAGTAGTGTAGGTCAACAAACGATTACATTGGTAACCGATTTCTGTTCAAAAAATAAAAAAAAATGGCACACTCATACACCAATAGCGAATTAGTCGACATGCTGTTAATTTACGGTGAGTGTTTTCAAAATGCGACCAAGGCTTCGCGAGTGTATGCAGATCGTTTTCCCAGATGTCATCCTCCAAAGACCCATAGATTTGTTTACCTTGTGCAGAGACTCAGAGATACGGGTCGTTTGGAGGAATGTAGAGGTGGGCACAGTGGGGAGGGAACCTAGACAACGCCGAATGGTGCAAACTGACGAAGAAGTACCGAGTCCCGTAGACGAGAATCCCTCAACAAGCACTAGGGACGTGGCTAGACAAGTGCAAGGGTCGAATACTAAAGTGTGGCAAACGCCGCATGATGAGGGATTGTACACGTTTCACGTGCAACGTGTACAAGCCCTCCAAGCATACACATACACTGAACCAACATGACAATAATCCGGACTTTTTGAAGTGCATATTAGTCACAGACGAATCCACTTTCACGCGTAACGGGGCGAATAACTTCCGCAATACTCATGTGTGGTCAGTAGAAAATCCTCACGCTGTCCGTCGGTCACACTTTCAACAAATATTTTCTGTGAATGGGCTGGCATGGTCGTTGGACCATTTATTCTCCCGAATCGGTTGGACGGGATACAATACCTAGACTTTTTACAACCTTGCTAGAAGATGTGCCTTTGAGTGTCAGAAAATCAATGTGGTTTTTCCATGACGGTGCACCGCCCCATTTTATCCGCGAAGTGCGTGAGTTCTTAATTGAATCATTTCCGAATAGGTGGATCGGACGTAAAGGACCCATAGCATGGTCTCCGCAATTTCCAGACACAGTGTGATTTTTTTCTTTGTGGCGAAATGAAACGCTTGGTGTACAAAACTGAGGTGCACATGGTTGACAAATTATGTCTGATGATTGAGCAAGCTGCTGCATTCATTTGGGGAAGGGACCCCACTGTAAAAGCCTGCACCAATACTACTACATCAAGCATGCATTTGTGTTTTTGAATCCAACAGCGACAACTTAGAATAGTACTTATAAAATACTTAGGTTGACCAAGAAAAAGTGACACCCACATCTAGCCATAATTGTAAATTCAATTCAACTGAACAGTAAGTGCTTTTTCATTTATTTTTTTACTTTTTCGCTCACGTTTCACCACACATTAGCCGTATCTGAAAAGAAAAACCCCAACTTTGCAGACACCCTGTATTATGTCAAGTATAAGGTATCAAAATGCAATACCATTTAAAGGAATCCAATTTTTTGAGCATCACATTGATATTTTACTACAATATTTAAACTCATGCTAGTGAACTAAAATTCAGAATTATGTGAATTGTACATATATGCTTTTAAAATTCATATTAAATGATCACATAGAGAAGTTAATGTTTTATTACTTGTATTTAAAACAATTATAATATACACATCACATGGTAAGCTTGTTTGACTGTCTTCAGTCCACATTTTACACGTTTTTGGTTGAATGAAAGGCTTATATTTTTGTATTTGACAATCTATGGTATCTACATCTTAAACATTACTGACCAAAACTTACATAAGTATGAAAAATGAAACCAATGAATTTTTTATCAAAAACTGTTGAAAATACTTTTTATATTTTGCTTTAACAATATCATGTAAGGTACAGTGCATCAATACAATATTTTCACCTTTTTAAGCATTATCTTGGTATTATACCTTATACCTACTGCAACATTTAAACTCAAACTAGTGAACCAAAATATATGAATTGTAGATGGCTTTAACATTTAGTGATCACATATTCAAAACAGTTGTAATATCACTGACCTGTAAAGAGTTGATCAGCTTTGTACGATTACTGGTATCATGCAGACTATTTTTGAAAGCAGAATGGTTTTTATGTTTTTGTGGTCTGGTTCTTTGCACGTTCCCCTTTTGAAGGCTCATTCCTTAGGCTATCTATAAAGAAATAAAAACAATATTTTAAATAATTTTGATATATTTTTTTACAATAAATATAGATATGTTCTACAAATTATCGTTGTAATCATCTTCTGTGGTAACACCATTAAATAGGATGCTATAACGATGTTTCTCCAGTAATGCCATTTCAGCCTTCTTGTTCTTTTCAAATTCTTTTTTAACAATCACTTCCAGCTCCTTATATCTTCTGCTTACTTCACTCAAATTTTCATTGCTTCCCAATACAAGTCTATCCAATGACTGATCAGAGGCCATCTGCCCTATTGTGTGAAATAGCAGCTGATACTCATACAATTCTTTGAGAAGCTCGCTAGCCAGTGTTCTATAATGTGGAATCTCATCCCAGGCCTCAGACAGAGGTCCCACAGTCAGTGCTTTATCTGTTATTTCCATCTGCTTGACAAGACATGCCCTGTATTCTGAGCTGACCACACTCACAAATTCCTTTAACTGTTCAATAAGTTTCAACAGAGCTGTATCTCCTTCAACCAGCGCTTTATTCAAGTCCTCGTTCACGTCTACCCTTGATGTATTAGTAGATATTCCACTCATTGCTGTACACCCAATACTGAATATGGCTATTTTGTGACTTGTGGTTACTGTCTGCTTCTGTAATCTAGTTACGTACAAATTTAATCTCTGTATTACTACGTATTGGGAGATCTTCTTGAGAAGTCTCGGGTTAAAAATTCGAGACATTACATAAAAAAATGCATTGACAAATTATGAGAAAATGTTGTCAAGCTTTATTAGAACATTACGATTTAACACACTTTAATATTCGGTTTATAGATGGTACAAAGAACTCAAATATTTTAATACTATTGTACCAAATATATTCAAAAAATAAAAGCAGAATTAAAAACGTACATCTTGGCAGCTGGAAAGAAATAAGTTAACAGATTGTAAAGCACGTATTTTTAAAGAATGAGTAAGGTTATGGTCATGTCCAGTGTTGCCAGGTAGAGTCGACGATATTTCGGTAGAATTGTGTGGAATTTTTTCCTAGTTTTTCGGCAGATTGAGTACCGGAGAGTACATGAAGGCATTTACTTAAAACAATTGTATTTAACTCCAAATATACTCTAAAACAGAAAGACAAAACATAAATAAACAGTTTATTTCTCACTTTAGCTAATTAAAAATAAAATATTCTTAATAAAAAACAGAAAAAGTGTATATAATAAAAAATGTGTAATCTATCTTGGATAATCATTCTTCTGATTCATTTTTGTATAAGCTTTTATCAGTCATATTATCAACTAATTTTGCTTTGCCAAATGGTTCATCAGCAGGAATATCAAATTATGCTGGGCCAAAAATGCGCTCAAACGAATTTCTCCTGGAAATAATAAAATAATCTATATAATCTCAAATCTTAAAAATAGTTTAATCAATTTTACCTTCTTTAATATCATTTTCTGATTTCTTTGATGCACCAGCAACTGCAAATGACAACAGTTTTGGCTGTTTTGCTATGATTTGCACTTTTTTATAAAATTGCCCATTTGCGTGTTTTATAAGTGCATCTCTTTCACTTTTTATAATAATAACTTTATCACAGGCCCAAAAATCGGTAGACCTGATAACACTGTCATGTCCTTTATTCTTTGATGTGACAGCATTTTAATCATCGACATACTTTCGATTTCTCTACTTCTTTGCTGAGAGTGAATATTCGATAAAGCATAGAGCGTCTGTATTATTGGTAACTATACTAAGTGGTCGAAGCTCTTTAGACCCAATCTCAATGTTGCCATATGCTTTCGGGATTTTCCGTTGTATACACGGCGATTCGATTAGACAATCAAGACTCGAATAAATTCGAATTGACATTCCAAGACGCTGTTCTCATCAAACCAACGAGACATTAACTCGATTTCGACTTGTGGATGTTATTATCATACTACATACTTCAACTAACATTCCCAGGAGTTGTTACGCATCATTAGTATGATGTCACGAATGTGTCATACGTCAAACTGCGGAATCAAGAAATGTATCATTTGTTCATATGCATTTAGGCAAGATCATTTTTGGAGAGTTTTTTATATTGAATATAACCACCAACAACTGTAGAAGTAAGTGAACTGAATATCCCTCAATGCAACAGTTGACAGCAACGGAAATCCTACCAAACGCATAGGACGTTGGCGTTGACAGAACCGAATTTTTGACAGGCCGTCGCTGTGTCTTTGTATTAAAGTCTGCAGTATTGGCAATACTGAATAGTGTGAATAGGATAAAACTCAGTGTCGTATCAGAACTGCTTATACCAAACTTAGTTAAAAACTGTTTATCTTGTTTTATTCCCACCTGACTTGAAGTATAGTTGTATTAACAGCCGTTTTGCTTCTAGCGCTTTTTCTTTGTAGGTACTTTTTTAAAAAAATGCGTTGTCAGGAAATATGAATCGGTAGCATACAAAAGACCACAAAATAATAATATGTCTCTGTCTACAGATATAACCATGACAGATTCGTCAGGATTGTGTGCCACTTGTGAATATTTTGAAATGTTACTAGATAATCAGCTGTTATGTGCTGTCACATTTGACGTAATGGATACTTGTGAAAAGGACTCGAGGGTATAGCGACTTTTTTCACAAACTCAAAACAGGTTGAAATCCGGGTTGGAGTCGAGTTGCTTTAATACAATATATAGACAGACTGACGACATTGTAGTTATATCTTGTTATGTTTTATATCGGAGCTCAATAAAAGATAATCTCAAATAGCACCTCCATGACAAGCAACTTGTTATACGCTGTCACTTTGGTAGGCAATTAGGCATTGATAGACAAATGCGTCAAAAGTATGCGCTGAACCAGTGTTGCCAGAAGTAGCGGAATTCCGCTACTGGTAGCGGAATTTTCAAGTGGTAGCGGAATTTTCAAGTGGTAGCGGCGGAATTGGATTTTTTGTTAAAAGTAGCGGAATTTTGCAATTTAGGTACACATGATGGATATTTTTACCAGAAAATAAATTGAGTGCAGATAGTAACCAAATCTAAATACAGATATCTTTCCAATCGACAGTGGTAACCACCGGTCGGTACTTCTTATTCAACGGAGACGCGTATAGATGGTAGTAGGTGGTAAGAACACAACCTGTGAAGTGTATTTTCAAAATATGTCTAATAATCTTAACTTTTGCCACATGGTAATGCAGATGTCGAGTGGACTTTCTGATATATGGAGATCATCAAAGCAAAGAAAAGGAATCGTATTTTATCTTTAACTTTTGTTCGCGATAATTATCAAACTGGATACAATACAAAAAAATGTTGCTGCTCAGACTTCGAGTTTGGTGAAAAACATTTAAAAAAATACAAAAATAATTTATATAATAATAATAATAATAATAATAATAATAAATGGCCTTTATTCGTCACACGATTACAAAATAATTGGTTTAAATAATTTATATAGTATAGAAAGAACAGAAATGCAACAAGAAGAATCTGATACAGACAGTGACTAAGTTTAAGTAACTCAAAAACTTCAATTTTATTATGCGAAACAGAAATGGCCTTTAGTCATATCCTTTTGATTTTTTTAGTTTTCTGTGATATTTTTTTAATATGCCTGCGTGATAAATGTTCTGTTGTTTGACAGTTATTTGTAATATTGTATTGGTTTTTATAGTCAAATGTTTTTTTATTACAGTTTTATGTTATATTTTATCACGCTGCTTGGTTTTTGTTTTCCGTTTTTGACACAATCTGTATAATAAATGCCCCCCCTGTCTTAATGTGCCCCCCCCACGACGATAATCCCCGGGGTAGCGGAAAGTAGCGGAGTTTTTCGATACCAGTAGCGGAATTTTCAATGTTGGCTCTGGCAACACTGCGCTGAAACTAAACAATTTTGGCGACAAAAAATGCAATGTAAGCATAGGCTTGGCTTCTGATCTATTCGAATTCGTTGGGATGCAAATCTTAATAGAAGTAGTTGTAATGATAATTTAGAAGGTCTGGCAACGTTACATTGTTTTTGACAACCACGTGTTGTGTATTGTTGTCGCTGCAATTTATGTATTTATGAATAGGAACGTTTAACGTTACGCAACTTCTTTTCTGTGTGAGTTTCCCAGTAGTTTTCTAGAGCTGCATGCCAATTTTTAGCTCTCTCTTTAGGAAATTCTGGTTATACACATCACCTTGACATTCTAAGGTTATAATAACATGAAATCAACGAAATACCTGGTATCTTCTATTTCATTCTGTTACATTGTACGTTGATACGGTACATGCGCCTGTATGTGTCGTAAATTAATGACCGATGCTGATCAGATTAGGAGACTTCTGGATATCAGGATTGCGGGAAAATTTTTATCGGCATGATTGTATGTCACTGATGTCGGCATTTTCGTCACGTTTTTGCACAGTAAGGCGTACGCGTGTATTGATTTCGAAAAATGTTTTCAAATTTTGTGAAAACGAGCCGCTTGACAGTGGTGCAGGCACTACAAACTGGTGTATTGATGGGGGTAGGGGACGCAATAGCTCAAACTTTTGTTGAAAAAGCACCGGGAAAGAAATATGATCCCAGGAGGACTGGAAAATTTTTCCTTCTAGGAGTAGGATTTGTGGTAAGTTAAATCTTGCATTATTTATCAGAATTAATATTTCAAAAGTACTTACTTCTTTAACTGCAGTTTCATCAGCAGCACAAAAAATATAGTCTAGATAGCAGTGCCTATAAAATCCAGGGAATGGTTTGGAGTAGTATAAAATGATGAAGGCACTCATATTTGAGATCGGATATTTGGTAGTTTAAAAGAAATTGTCTCGTGATAATCATCAACCAGTGCTCTTTTTTTTCATTATTTTGTGATATTTCACAATTCTTCGCTCCAAAAATATTATTTTTTCATTTTTTCTCTAGGGATCTAGCCTGCGTATACACTGCATTGTAGTGATTGACTTTGACTGTAGGAGGGAATACTAATTGCCCAACATAGAGAACATGTTCAACAGCTCTTCAAGCAGTTTTTTTAGATAGCACTGGAATATTTAATCATTAAATTTGCATTTTTTTGTGTTGCAGGGACCCACACTAGGTACATGGTACCGAGTTCTTGCCAGTCGCTTTGGTGATACAGGAACATTTAATGTAGCAGTGAAAAAAATGGCCTTAGACCAGCTAGTATTTGCTCCCTCGTTTTTGGCATTATTCATTACAACTGTAAGCTTTACTGATGGCAGAAACTGGAGAGAAACAAAACAGCAGCTAATCCATAAGTACCCAGATATTTATTTAACAAATTTAACCATTTGGCCAGCAGTACAGTTGGTCAATTTTTCTTTCATACCTCTGAGGCACCAACTGCTGTTGGTGCAGTCTGTGGCTATTTTATGGAACTGCTACTTGTCTTGGAAAACCCATAAGGAGATACAGTAACTTCATACATAAGCTTGATATTGAACAATACCCTTTCATCAAACTGATTAGGATAATTACACATATCTATCATATATAATTAAACAACAGTATATTTATTTATAACTGTATTGAAGGTTACACCTTTCCCCCATAAGCTCAAAATTACATTTATGATAGTTGACACTTCTTTCACCCAAGAACAACACCAAGTTACTTCTTCAACTTTTTAAACTATGCTTTCAGTATTGTACTTTTATAGTCTAGAAGAATTGAAGGGATTTGATTTAATATTAGAGTGGTAAAGAATCTCAATATTCCTTATATACGATGCAAGTTTTACATGTCATTAACTTACCTTTTGTCATTCAGTTATTTTATGGTCTTTCCAAAAAATAAAAATCCATCTGATACTTCTTAGAATAGATGTTTTTTGATGTGTGCCAGTTTTTACACTTTGATAATGTATTTATGAAATATCTTACTCTAACTGTAGCAACATTGTACTTACTAGAACTGTTAGAATCCAACTAGATGATTCTTGGATGATGTAAATTCTATAGTAACAAATTTTTTTTGGCTAAATAAAAGCTGACGATCCATGTCGGACGCTTCAGTAGTTTATTTGACTCCCATGAGGTATATGTTGACATGTGATAAAATCTATTCATCATATCACTGTTTTTAGCTACCTCTTACATAGCATAAATATGACAAATGAGCAATGTAGTTTGTGTATTTGTATAAAATGTTACTACTCCACTTTTGCCTGACAAAAACCAAAGTTAGTCTTTATAAAGGCATTTATTTAGTTACTTCTTTCAGGGAATTAAAAGGTATTATTGTAAATCTTATTTCAGGTATATAATGATTGACGTGCTTCGTTTGTGTTAAAAACAAATTTTTCTAATTATGTAGCATTTGCAAATATACTATACAATCATAGTATTGAAGAACAGATACATTTATTGTTATTTTAGTTAAACTGACATTTATTTAAGAATGAGTAAAACTTTTTGCAAATATTTCAGAAGTGCTTAATTAAAACGGCCTTTTTTTAGAGGCCTAAAGGTTATCCATAAAATAATGGGAATTCATTTAGCTAATTATTTCCTGTAATGTTTTTTGCAGTATTAATAATAAATTACTTCTATTTGGTACACATCAATTATGTTGTGTATCATGTTTCCATTTCTGCATTGTTTTAAGAATGGTGACCTCTGGTTGCAAACATTTAATTTTTGTTATCATGTCTGAATAGGTATGGATTATGGATTGTATGACAGTTGTATTTATTACCTTCTATTGACGTTAGGTGTAATTGTAAAGAGGCTCCACAGTTCTGTTGACAATTTAAGTTTCATATATATCAGTGTGACTGATTGTTATTTTAACATTTGTGAGGATAGCTTTTTGTATACTATGTAAATAAATGACAATATTCTGAACTATATCTTTCAATTAAAAAATCCAGCTTGTTATATAACACGCTTTTAAAATATGCCATGTAAACTTTCTTCAAAGACCACCACCACCAATTCCACTCTATCCTGACAAAGTCGATCAAACAAATTCTTATAATTCCGATTTTTTTTTAGAAAATCGGAATACTTGTAGCTTAGCTTAATCTATTAATTATCTCACTGCTATGTTGCTTTGTCCGAAGAACTCGTACCCCATCATGAAGGAGAGAATTTTTTATTGTTCTGGATCAATCACTAATTCCCTTGTTGATGACGGTAAGAACCTTGGTGTAACCCTCGACATTAATATGACATTTGACCATGTTATTCTATCTGTCGGAAATAACGTATAAGCGCTTGAAGCTCCTTTATTGAAATCGTTACATTTGACATTTTAAAACGCGTAAAGGCTCACCGAAAGTCTTGTGTTTTCCCCTACTTTCGTGTTCTGTACTTTCCAAGCTTACAGTATCTCGAGAAAACCAAGCTGTAGAAACTACAAAACAGCTGCTGCAGGTGTATCTTTGGTCTGCGCAAGTTTAGTCGCATGCCAGATAGAATCAGAAATTACATTACTGTATATTTAGATTTCCTTCAGCCATGTCACGAGGTCCAGTAGTATGCTTTCCAATATTCCATAGCCCGCGGTGTGTGGGGGTATGATGTGGGATACCGCGGCCTATGCTGCCATGCTAGCGGAAGAAACTTTTCATTCTCTACGTTTTACCACGCATCTTATCACCATTACATTTCAATCTCAAAGAGTTAGGTACCGTTGAGGTCGGGAACAACTTCGCAAATGCGCCTTTAATACGAGTGATATTTTTTTTAAAGCAGAGGCCCCAAAGGTTGCGGTCCCTGCGGGCTGGGTATAGTTATCAGGGTTAAAATAAGCAAAAACAAAACAACGACTGCAATAGTTTTATTACTTGTTATTATAGTAATTTGTACATCTTTTCCATAAATGTCACTAACCCTCGAATTTTTATAATTCATAATGTAATAGGTATGTTCGTAGCCTTCAACAATATCCGCATCAATTAATAGCAAATAGCTTTTGACTCATTTGCTGCTGAAACAAAATTTGACATTTAGGGTATACGTTACTTCATTTAACGAAATAATAGAGATTCAGATAAAATAAGTAATACTTAAACTGTTGGAATCAAATACGAGACTTACTAATATTCAATAGACCTAGAATGCCGACTTTTCACGTTGAATATAATTTTGTGATTTTTGAGTGGATATTAAGGATAACCAGGCAACCATATATAATGTCACTTTAAATGAATCAAAAGATTCGAAAAATTAAAAGTAGGAGGAATATACTGATGAATGTTGTTGGGAGACAGTTAAATAAAGGATGAATTATTCCATTTAGTCATTTTAATTCCGATTAAAAATCGATGTTCATCTACATAATTCGTATGAAAAGCGGAGTTTTGATTTTAGTGGATTACATGTAAATCGTTAGCTACATCCTGATTCTATAGGTTACATACAGTGGTCATGATGTAATCTTTCGTATACCGTAGTAAACATTGAAAATAATAAGTCATTTCAACTTTTTGGTATATTACTGGTAATGGAACATTGAGCCATCAATCTTTGAACTAAACAATGAACCGTAAATCATCCGCAGATGACTTAATTCGCAAATTGCTTTGTTGGAGTTTCTAATGGCTGGAGGTTTACTTGGGATTGAGTAAAGTGAACGCAAGAAAAATATGCTGTGTATACTCTCAAAATATTTAAAAATGGAGGTAATAATTTAAAATGATCGTCTCTGTAAGAATTACTTATTACTTTTAGTGTTAGGTTGCTAGCAGCGGTAAGCTTTTAGAGGGGAATTATTTCAGTTTTTTTAATGTGGCCTCAAAACATGTCCTTGACTTGTTATTGTTGAAATGACTTATAGTATGTTAGTCATATATACATTCATACGAATAAGTATTAAAATAATTATTTTATACTCTAGCTGTGGACGCAGAAAAATAAAGATTCTTACATAGTACATTTTGTACTTATACATTTATGTTTTCTACGACTACTCAGTTTGGTACTATTATAACAATACTGATAGATGGATTTCTGCGGAGTTTGAGATTTTGTTTTTTTTAAGATAATTGTGAGAAACATCCATATCGTTTATTCCACTTCGAACTGACCACGCTTCCAAATTTCGCTTTTTTTATTTGCTCCTTTCCAATCTTTAAATGTTAGCAAGGAAATCATTACGTTTCAGTTTTGATAATAGCGTGACCGTAATTCTGCTTGAAATGTTTTATACATATATGACTGATTTTTTTGTTGTTGAAAAAAGATCTGAAATAGAAAAGTATGTGAGTTGTCGTAGAAAATTCATTTCGTTGATAACGCCATCTTCAGAGCTCATAAACAATACAAAAAATGGAGCAAGGATTCTGCATTATTTTTGTTCAATCATGCTTGATAGCGGTAACTTACTCGTTGCTAGATGTGGTAAGGAATTTTTATGAAATCGAAACGTTCCAAAGATCTTCAACCATTTTCAGAATTCATGTGTAAATACCAGTGGCGAAGCGTCCATGAAATCGTTGTTACCATTGGTAACAGTTAAAAATCTTGAAAATAAATATTTTATGACTCAGTACTGTGAAATAATTTCATTTATTTGTTTACCAACAACGATATGTAATAGTAATTCAGTAAATAGCAAATTAGCCTCGACTTGGTTGTCGGTTGTTACCATTTTCATTTATGGATAGTCCGTCGGGGACCGTCGGTACCGGCTCGTGTCTGATCGCGGTCGCCCGAGTGCGTGGGGCGCTGCGACTATTACGTGGGCTTGTTACCCTATTTTTGATTTGGTTAATTACTTCTCACTCGTTAGTAGTCGTTTCGGTTACCGACTGTAGTGTGCGTGCAGTTAAACATGGATGAGTGACGCTGCGTAATCGATCAACTACTTGAAAAGTCATTCTCCTTGTATAATTTTTAAGAAAAAAAAGGATATCATTGAAAATGGAAGACCAACACCTACTTTAGATAATTTTAAAAAGGAATAAAAAACGTACTTTGATATTTTAAATTAAGTTGGTATATGGAAACTCTTGGTTATGTGGTTGCAACAAAACAGATTGTATTGTTGGCGGAGTCAACGATTTAAATAGTTTTAGGGCTCTAAAGAGGAGACATGAAATTTCTCCGTAACATGTGAGATGTGTAGCCAATTTAATTCAGTTTGGCAAAACAAGAATCGAAAGTCGTCTTAAACAAGCGTTTAGGCAGCACACTTCTAGATACCGTATGTTTTTTGGCAAAACAGGAATTACCGTTCATTTTGAAGGGGGGACTCTGACAATAGAGGAAATTACAGGGAATTGTTAACATTCATTGCCAAAAAAGATCAAAAATTTTCCGAACATCTAGAAACGACGACTCTTTTTTCGGACGGCTTGGATTAGTCATAGCGTAAGACGATGAGATATATCAAGTGCCCCAGACGCTCAGTCCAGGAATGTTTTTACCTTAATTGGAAAATAGTTTAAATAAAATACCTAAAATAAGCAAAAAATTATATATGGGAGTTCCAAAATAAACTTTTTTGAATAAAATTATTCAAATCTGATTTTGGTAACAGTTTAGGAAATGTCACGCGTCGCCACTGGTAAATACATATGATCATTGAAAACATTGTCAGAAAAACAGATTTCAGTGTGGGAGAGAATATAATTTCACATTAATTTTGCTTACAGCCTAGATACATAAATCACACTAAAGTGTAACAATTTTTGTTTTTTTTAATCGAAGAACTGATGTTGGAGAGTTGGGGTACACGAAGCTGATCACCGCGTGGTGTGCCACTTGATGTATGTACAGTTTAACCATACCTGAAAGCAAAACCATTTTTGTGTTAGTGCTTTTTGTCATCTGTATCTACGCACCCAAGAAATGGGGTTTTGGTCGAGAATTCAGATACGAAAGAATTTTTAAATTTTGCCTCAAGAGTGTATCTATCCCTTTTCCTCAATGCAAAATTCCCATTTTCGCCACAAAATTTTTGGCTACAGACGAACGAAGCTCAGTACACTGAGGTAATTTGAGACGCTGATTCCGAATATGGCAATTAGAAAAATCTTAACGTGTAGCAAAACTCTGGTTGGGACCTTTAGTCGACCTCAGCTAAAAACAGACACCAGATCCGTGATCAACGCACCCCAGGGTCTCCGCGGGCTCATTTCCCTCATTTTTAATTCCTACGCCACTGGTGTAGAGTATTGTAATCGCTAAAAATATCGAAAGAAGTATATTACTATGTTTTTTTGGATGTTATATAACATGTAGACCAGGAAAAACAATGCCACTCATTTCCGGCGGTCTGACTGTCCGCTAATCCTAGGCAAGTCTGTAATTTTGAACGTATCTCTCGGATTTTGATGAACTTTCCACAAAAGATTACTATTATGGCAAGGACGAAAAAGCTTTGTAGTTTTTTGAAAATCGACCCACTGGGGGCAGAGCTAGAAGCAAAAACAAAAAAAAAAATAAAACCACGCGAACTTCGAGTTTTGACGTTTCAGAGGCTCCTGATCGTTTCCAGAAAAAATAATTCCTGGTGTTTAAACTTGTCGGCTGGGGTTGTAGGGTATATCTCCATTTTGTGACGTCGTGTGGTGGATGCGGTCGGATCAATTTGTTCTGTTCTGCGGCCCGACGACGCAAGCACCTTCAAGGACCGAAGCTCGTGCGCCGATCGGTCCTGTGAATTATGCGATGCGGCATATTCGCCGATGCTTTGAGCTTAGAAACCTTGACCGGTGTCGAATGTCCAATTGACAGAAGAAATAAACGGTAATGGATAAAACGTACTTGTACCTATCATACTATTTTTTAAAGTTATTTATCTATCATTTATGAAATAAATCCTGACAATTCCTAAATTTTTTTACCAAATCATGCTAAATATACTGAGTGACGAAAAAAGTAAGGTATGTCTATCCGATTTTAATAATATTTTGCATATATGTTCAGTATCCCTTACTAGTAAAATGATTAAATTTTCAGCTTGATTCGTCAACGGACTGCAGAAGCTGGTTCAATAATGTGTTGAGGATCCGCGATTTCTTATACACTCATTGACACGGCTGGGCATCATGCTGATAAGGTGGTCGATATCCTTTTGGGGTATCTCATTCCAGGCTACTGCAACTTCGTGAGTAAGAGCTGCCAAAGTCTGTGGAGCTTGCGACCTATCATGTCCCGTACATGTTCAATTGGATCAGGCGATCGTGTTGGCCAAGGTAAACGATGCTCTGGCAACATGCGGTCTAGAATTGTCTTGCTGAAAAATCGGGAATGGAATAAGATGAGGCTTCACTATTTCCTGAATATAGCGTCGGGCCGTCATATTGCCTCTGATGAAAATTAGTGGTGATCTGCTACCATAAGCAATATATCACCCCATACCATAATTCCCACGGTGTGGTGAACGTGACGCTCTCTGTCAAATTGTGGGTCACGTCGCCTCATTCTTGCCCGACCATCGTGCATCCCCAGACAGAAGCGGTCCCATAGAATTCTTTCTCTACACCAGAGCAAACGGTTACGCCGATGTTCAGTTGTGAGAGGTAGCACCCAATGTGGGCGATAAGAAAAGAGGCCAAACTGTCGTATTCGGCGATATACTATACCGTACGCATACCAACCGTTCTTCCATGCTCTTCAACCCACTGATTAGCGATGGCTCGGGTACTACTGAATCTGTGTATCAGAGACAGAAGTCTTAACCGGCGGTCTTGTCGCTCTGTGGTCCCTCTGGGACGTCCAGAACAGCTCGCTCGCTGTCCTCGGCCTTCTTGACAACCCGACAATTCGACCCTTCTCAAAGTCAGTTAGCTTCTCAATAAGCTACACGAAATTTAACATTTAACTGATACCGTAAATGTACGAAAACTGCGTGCTTCTTTATCACCAAACAATACACGCAGCCACCAAAAAAACTTAACAGAAAAATCTTACCAATATTATCACTTGTTATTCATGGTAAGATAAATCGATATGTAAAAATATCTTGAATTCTAATAAACATACTACGTAGGTTTACCTTCTATGTCACTCAGTACATGTATATTTCTGAGCTTTGACTTATGTCCCTGATGCACCCGATACAAGAACAAAATGGATTTTGGTCATGACAGCAGATACTGCTGATTTAGAATATGAACATCTGAATCTCCTAAAACGAAGCGAAAATGCGACTCTGTGGACATCCTGTTGATCTCAGTGAAAAACTGACACCTGTATCGTAGATGGTACACGGCCTCGAACTATCGAACGTAGAGGTACCACCGGCGGATCTCTAAGATTTGAACATAATGCTTGCCCTTCACTATCGGCGATGATCGTTGATCGTGTGATCGTTCATAATAGGCACGATCATCGTGCACGCATCCACACGAGCGTCCGTAGTAGTTTGTCAAATGGCAAGCATTAATATGACCCGGCGATTCCCTTTGATGCGTGTCCGAAAAAACTACAATTCAAGGGTCGAAGGCGATCGTAGCCGATGATCGGCGAGTACAGCCGAGTATGCCCTCTACACGATCGTGCTCGCCCGTAATCGTTTGTAATCGCCGATAGCGAAGAGGAGAGAGGAGCCATAATGTGTATTGTGTACAGGTCGCATGTACACGTCCTCCCTCGCAGGAGTTCCGCTGTATCCTGCTCTATAACTCGACTATATCCACGGTTGTTTAGGCGTCCGTGGTGGTTCAAGTATATACAAATCTACGCATTCGATTTACCCAAACAATGAGTATTTGTGAGTACTGAGGTGAACAACTGATCAGCAAGTGTCGTCTTTGTATTTGTTGGTAATATTGGCAATATGGAATTGGTAAATCTGGTAAATCTGGTAAAACTCCATATTCAGAGCTGTTTATACCAAACACCAGTTTTTGTCCACACATCTAGATACTTTCAACGATTGGGAATTTTGACAATAAAATATACAATGTACAGGCATTATTATAGGACATCTGGTATTTATTGATTACGAGTAACTGTATGTTTAAATGTAGACACGTGTTTTTGGTGGATTGACAGTCATCTCAGTAACGTAAAAAAATAGAGATGTCAGTCAAAAACTGGTTATCTTGTTTTACTACTACCTGACTTGAAGACTAGTAAACAGGTTGGAACAGGTAGTGATAACTGATAGCCCTCCACAATGCTATGTTGATTAGGGCAATTTGACACATTTATAGAATATCAAAGTTCCATTGGCAATTGTATTTTAGTTGCACTCCGCGAGTTCAGACTTGAATTTGAAAGATTTTGGGTTTTTGGGAGTAGTACCAATGGCGAAGGAGTAATTTACACTTTTCATTGCAACTGTGTCTGCTAGAGACGGTTTTGCTGTCCAAAATGCTTTACAGCTTGCATTCTTATATATTACTAAACCATCGGAATCCCTTCGAGATGATCAGAATCGACTCCTTCAATTCCACCTGCGGTGTCGTTACCTTGAAACGATTCGTTAAGAACCGACACAGCTCTACCTTATACCGTGACACTTCATGTTTCATGCTTGTAAGGTATCATCAGTACGGTATACCTGTCTTAGATAGAATCAACGACAAGCAAACAGAGCACATTCTAGTCTTCTGACAAACCCGGTTAGTTGTGCGCAAATAGGTGACTGTTTTAATATTCGGGATTACCTTGTCATGACTCTATCTCGTGCAGTCTGCATTGGCCATCGCTTCCCCAAATTCATAAGCATGTTCCTGTTCCTATGAGCGCCTTCTTTCGCCTTCTTGCGGGCTATCTCCAACAGTAGTCTGTTACGTAGCACGTCCAGAGAGTTGACGATCGACAATGAGCCTCCAGCCAAGTCTGTTGCTGGACCTGCGCCTGCTGTTGCGGCTGCATTTCCTCCTGCTGCCGCACCTGTACGTTTTGAGGTCAGTGAAGTCACTTCTATTGAGTTTGAGTCCTGGAAAAAGGCACAAAATAGTAGAGCAGTGGTGGAAATGAGTTACTCCCAAAACATACCGAAAAGCAAATAGTGATGGAAAACGTAATCAAAGCTTATGTGGTATCGTTTTCATCAGTGCTTAGCAAGGGGGGGAGGCGGGGGTGGCGGTCCGCACCGGGTTTTTTGATGAGATACCCACCCGGTGACTCAATTTTTCCAGAGTTGAACTCCAGACAAGATCGAAGTCTCTTCAATACTTAGCTTCATTGTTTTAGATCGTACAAAATGCTTTTGGCGAATACTGAAGAACTGAAATTAGCTACATCCAAATTTACTGACTTTTATGATGAGGTCTCAGAAACAGAATTACTTTTGGAGATACCAAGACTGTGAAGACACTTAAAAGCCGCTAATATTACAGTTTCTGATTGGGTATCTCTAGATTTTTTAAAGTTTATTGTAGAATCGGATTTTACAGAATCTCTTCCAAATATTATGATTGCACTAAAATTGTTCATGGCGGTTTGCTTGCCCATGTGAAAGGAGTTTCAGTAAACTAAATTTAATGAAAAACTATTTGTGGGTGACAACGACCCAGTCGCGGCTTAGCTATCTGGGTATATTCGCTATCGAACACGAGGCAATACAAAATATAAATTTTGATGAAGTTATTTCTGAGTTTGCAGCTATCAAAGCTAGAAAGAAGAGATTTTAATTGTAAGGTAAACATATTTTTTGTCTTAGTTTTTATTGTGTTTTGTTATTTGTTCAATATTTTAAATATAAATATTAAATGATCCATGATGATTTATTGCTTTTGACTTTCGATGGGGTGACACCACCAACTTCCGCACCGGGTGCCACCCAAGGTAGCTACGCCACTGGTTTTTATTCATAATTCCTAACTTTCAATAAAAGATTAAGATACAAAAAAATACATCTATTTTCTTTCATTTTAAATATATTGTAAAGAAAATCAGTTGAATAGTGCTGCAAAAGAGTCCCATTCATGGGCGTAGCCAAGGAGGGGGGGGGGTATTTACCCTCGCCAGACCCATGGCTGATGCTGGTTCCAAAAAAGAATTGTTTTTTGGAGGATGGATTTTTTTTTTTGGATATTAGGGTATTGTTAGTTAATTCTGAATTCTAAATAATAGTTTATGTAATATCTTGTTTAAAATTAAAAGTTTAAAACCTATATCGCTGCATGAATCTTGCAACTGTCAATTTGATCATTATTTATTTTTTGATTTCACCCCTGCAGTGTGAATATTTGTGAAATACAGTGCAAGTGAAAACTATGCGGCGGATCTGAATTATGCCTGTCGATAGAGTCGAGTTAGAGAGTCCGCTGGTTGTCAGGTGGTTTTCAGTTCTTTGTCTTCTTGCACCAGAGGTGACGCTCGCACCACCTTGTTGTGCCACTCATCGACCACGCAGTGTTTCCAATCGGCAGGAGAACTTTCTCGGAACCTAAATTTTAGAGGAAGTGCTTGGAAAGAAGAGTTTACCATTTTTTCGAAATTTTTAAAAATCTCAAACATTTTATATTTATTGGAAGAAATTCTGGCAATACCGTAAAGATACCCTGACAGGGAACACTTTGAAACCAAACCAGATTAACTCCTGAGAATTCTCAATGTCTCTCTTTGTGTCAGGTTTAACGACTGAGATGGATAATACTCTGATCAGCTGGGTGACTGGACATAATAATAATAAACTCGTGTCAATTTTATTAAATAATAAAATTAAATAAAAAAGCTATTCCCCAGTCGCAACAAAACATCTATTTTCCTGTTTGTCCAGTTATACTAATGGCAAAAGGCTGTAGTGCGCGACTGATCGTAGCCTTAATAATTTCTGGACTGACCGTAGCCTTAAGACCGATGAAAGTGGTTCACCTTGAACCGAAGGTGACGCGGCAGTCGGCCGGCAACCGTCGAATGTATCCGTCTGTTGAGTTTGATCTGTAAGATTATTTTTGTTGTAAAGTTGAGTAAAGTGAGTCCCCGAAACCGTGTGTTACTACTGCCCACTTCCCACGTATATTGGAGTTCTGCACTTCATTTTGGCGCACAACGTGAGGGCTGTAGTGTTTTGGGGAATTTGCCAGTGAAGGATAAATCATTTTGAGTTTTGCAAAGCGTGGTCGGCCATTGAGAACGAAATCGAAAGTGTCTGATCGCTGCTGCCATCTGACGACTAGGAAAAGCAGTGGAAAACAAATGGCTGATGTTTGATCAGCTGATGTATGACAGCCGCTTTGAACTAAACAAACGACAAGTTGTTTTGGACATAGGAGTTTTGAAATAAGCGAAGAGTTGGGCACTGTTAGCAGAGAGATCCAGGTGCTTAGGAGGTGAGCTGGAAGTTTGGGAGAAGCAGAGTTGGAGCGGAAAGAAGAAGAAAAAGTTATGGTCCAGGTATCATAGAGAAAAAAAAAAAAACTATAGTGCAAGGTACTGTATTTTATTTGTGTATTGGGTAGAGTTAGGTATTTAGATTGAAATCGCTTTTCAAATGAATGATAAAATGGCACCGAAGAAACCAAAAGCCAATGTAAATGAGGAGAACAGTTTGTTAGGTAGTTTGGATGAAAGTGAGTCACCACAGTGTAGTGAGTTAAAAAATATGGTGAATAACTTAGCAGATGATTTCAAAAGGTTACAGACGTCTTTATCTGGGGGTAGTAGGCAATATGTTGGTCTGTGGAGGGACCTGGGGGGTCACACTTTGACATTTGTGCCTAATGGACCAGTGCATCCAATGAACTTTTTAAGAAAAATTATTTATTTATTTATTTATTTATTTACAAATTTACGGGATAAACCCATTCGGTTACAGGTTGTAAAAGTACAATCTTAACCTAATAAAATTCACACACATCTTAAATAAAGAATCTAACATATGAACATAAAGTTTGACTATTTACTAAATTAAAATATTAAAATATTAAAACGTGCATAAAAATAGTTACAAACAAATACTAAAAAAAAAAAAAACTAAAAAAACTGAACAACTAAACAACACAGCAAACATCACCAGCAATTGAGACATTTTAAAACTTTAGCTAAGATTTCTATCTTTAAGGAACTTTTTGAGAGAGCATAGTGAAGTATTAAAAAGGTCTATATCACAGTCATTACAATTTCTCATTATCCTATCCATGCTACTATTCGAGCCATACAAAGTTCTATGCCGACAAGGTTCAAAGGATCTGCGTCCTCTTAAATGCCTAGGAGAAACATTATGCATATCTTGGATGAGGCTGGGGTGCCTGAAACCGCAAGGTTAAAACTAGTAACAGGGTGTTTGAGGGGCTCGGCTGCTGAGTGGGCGGAAATCAAGGAGGATTCTTTTGACTCATTTCAGAGTTTCATTGATGCTTTCATGGATAGGTACTGGGGGGTTAAAGAACAACGTGCATTGTACTATGAAATAAAGTATGGTAAATTTCGATCAGGTAGCAGGGCAGATTATGTTCTCCGGATGGCAAAACTAGCCAGTTATTTGACAGACAAGATTTCTGAGAGTGAGTTAGTGAGGTTTTTGTCACAGCATTTTACACAAGAGCCAGAGATTCATAGGGCGGTTTTAATTCAAAATATGAAAACCATAGAGGAACTTGAAGGATTTCTAAGAAATTTAGATGAGGTTGATGCTACTAGTCGTGATAGAAGAAATGAAGGGAGAGGGGGGTACAATCCACCAAATCATAATGGTAATCGAAATTTTAGGCAAGATGCTCAGGGAGAAAATAACAGAAATGATCAGGATAGGGCTATCAGATTTATAGATGTGGGAGAGGATTTATTGAGTGAAATTGAGGATGGTGGAGATGGTGATGAAGGACACCAGATGATTTCCTCAACTGTGAAAGGTAATGTTTATGGTGAAGAAGTAAACATATTACTAGACTCAGGTAGTCAATGTTGTGCGATATCTGATGAATTTTACAAGAAAATAAATTCTGATGAAAATGGGATATTGGTATTGCCGGTGGTAAATTTCTCAGTTACGGGGGCAGTTGGTAAAAAGCAACAGCGAATTAAGCAGCAGGTTTTAGTGAAAATCGAAATTGGGGGGTGTGTGTTTGAAATCCCTTGCATAGTGGTGCCACATTTGAACCGTTCGGTTATTTTAGGAAGCGATTGGTTTTTAAAGGAACATGTCAAACTTGATTATGATGATTTAGTTTTAGCTGTTGATGAAAAAAGTTTAAGGGTGAGAATTCAGTTGGAAAGAAGGGATGAGGCTCAGTTATCGATCAATTTTCTACAAGAAGGACAAATGAAGGATAGGAATAGACATCGTTATACAGATTTCGAGATAAAAGAAGTGGTTACTAAGGCGGAATCGTTTGATGAAAGGGAAAAAGTGGAATTATTGAAACTAGTTAAGGATTTTAAGGGTATAGCTGTAGATCAAGTAAAATCTGACTGGATTTCGAGAATTGTGAAACAACTGGAGAAAGACGCTAATAAGGGAAACATTACTGATGTAGGAAAGTGGTATGTTGTTTATAAGGGGGTACTTTTCAAACGAGAGTCTCGCGGGTTCCCCGGATATAAATTATGTATTCCGAAGGAATACGTTATTTCACTAATACAGCAACAACATGCTGATTTAGGGCATTTTGGATACAAGAAAATCTTACACCATATGAGGGAACTTTTCTTTTGGCCTAAAATGGCCAAAAATATCCGACAAGTCGTTACTAGTTGTGAGCTCTGTCAGAAAACTAAAATTTCAAAGGGGTTACAAGGCACTTATAATGCCATTTTACCTGAAAAACCGGGACAGTTGCTCACGGTGGATTTAATGGGTCCTCTGCCACCGTCGCGAGGAGGCGCTACACAGCTATTTGTGGTGGTAGATAATTTTACCAAGTTTACGAAACTTTATGCTCTTCGTAGAGCTACGGCGCGAAGTATTGTTAACAAGCTGGAGCGATATTTTTCTGAGATCCTAACTCCAGAAGCGGTGTTATCAGACAATGGAACCCAATTCCATTCAGCGGTCTATATAAAATGTTTGGCGGAAAAGGGTGTAAAATCCATTTACACTTCCGTTTATTTCCCATCGGGTAATCCCACAGAGCGCATGAATAGAGAGATTGGCCGTCTGCTTAGGTGTTTCTGTTCTACCAAACATACCAAATGGGCTTGTGTTCTACCACGTATTGAACACTGCCTAAATAATATTGTCCACGAAAGTACCGGACAAGTTCCTGCGATGTTGATGTTTGGAAAATCAGAGCCTAATGATATTTTTAAACTGATTGATTATCCTCCTGGTAATCCCCCCACTCCGGATTGGACCTCATCACTCCAATTAGCTTCCAACAATTTACGGTCCAAGGCTAGAAAACGCAAAGAGATGTTTGAAAACAAGAATAAAGCTGTCACTTTTACTGTCGGGGATTCCGTTTTAGTGAAGACTCACCCAATTTCCTCCGCTGCCAATGCGGAAATCCGAAAGTTATTTGTGAGGTTTGATGGGCCATATGTGGTGTCGCGCATAGTTGGACCCAATTCTTATATGTTAAAGAATATAGAAGGTGTCAATGTAGGCCCTCAGAACATTAGAAACTTAAAATTGTATAAGCGCTGCCCTACCCCTGACCAATTGTAAATTAGGTTTAGTTTAATTAGGTTAGTGTTTGGTATTATATCTTCTGGAATGTAATCCCTCAGATATAATAGGGGGGTGATGTAGTGCGCGACTGATCGTAGCCTTAATAATTTCTGGACTGACCGTAGCCTTAAGACCGATGAAAGTGGTTCACCTTGAACCGAAGGTGACGCGGCAGTCGGCCGGCAACCGTCGAATGTATCCGTCTGTTGAGTTTGATCTGTAAGATTATTTTTGTTGTAAAGTTGAGTAAAGTGAGTCCCCGAAACCGTGTGTTACTACTGCCCACTTCCCACGTATATTGGAATCCTGCACTTCAAGGCAAACTGTTTAACTATTTCATTCTTCATTCTATGGGGGTTGAAGTAAATAGGTCATCGGCAAAAGGTGTCACAGCAACGATCAGAGAAAATCAGAGGCAATTTGAAAAATTAGCCAAAGGTTTTTTTGATTCAAAAAATCAAATAGTACTGGGCCTACACCATTTTCCAAATAGATTGATTACGTCGCTTTTGGTTATTTAATTAAACAATAACGTTTTTGTGATTTCATCAGTATTTCTCATAATAATGCTTAAAATTGGACTAAAGATGTTTTGAAAAATGAACATTCCAGGGTCATTCATTTTTTTGTCCATTTAAACCCGAACAACCTTGTATACTAGGACATACTGGTGAGAATGTACTTATATGAAACAACAGGTGTTCTAGTAAGGAGAAGAAGGAATGCCTGAGTATGCTTCGACAGCCAAGCAGCCAAGCTGCCTTGGAAGCAGTAGTAGATCAACCTTTGTCCAGGACTGTAGTTCAGCTATTCAACGTCTAGTCCTTTTCAAATAAATGTTGCTCTCTTTGTACCAAAAATAAAAAAGTGGCTTAATTGACAGGTTTTTTTTGTGGCGGCAATGCTCCAAGAGATTGAGCATTTAATCATTATAAAAATGTACATGTGTACTTAGTTTTCCTATATTATTACGTCCTTGGAAATTATACTGTCACACGCTATAACAGACGTTCAAATTTTATTGCGAGCTATGAAAGTTTAAATGACCTGCTCCGTTAACTTATCTGCAAAGTTTTATACAACTGCAGATAAAAAAAATACTGCAAAAAAAACGCAACTTCCATCAACTCTAATGGATAAAATTATGGACAAATAAGGAGTGACTCATTCACTCTTTTAAGACTCACTCCTAATTTTCATCTATCAATAATTTCTTACTATGAAGATTAACATCTTACACCCTTTTTAGTAATAGTTATAATCGTTGTGTGGTTAATAGCGTTTGTATATCTCTTTGAACTCTGCTACAAAAATATGTCAATAAATGGTGGATGTGCTATGTATCATACAGGGTAGGCAGGTCCCACGTAAAACTCTAATTCGGTTAAGATATTTTTAGAATGGTGGCATTGCCGGTTGTACCGCAAGTAGCTTATCTTAAATGGAACACCCTACATATTATTAAATTTTTGAATTCCACCCAAGATTGTAGGTACATTTCATTAATAACTTCCTGTACCTAACCCTAACCCTCTTTGAGAAATACCAAATTTTGTGTAATAAATGTGTCCATAAAGGCCTATGAATTTTTCGTATATCTTTGTCTTTGTCAAACGATTTGTCACTTCTGCTCATAGAAGTGGGTGTACTTTAATGTACTTCATTCGATATTTTGATATTAAATAATAGTGGGTGGTCAAAACATCGGACGAAAATGGAATCCCGATGCTTTTATAATCTCATCATCTTAAGCAATACAAACAAGTATAGTTATTATTAGTGTATAAGGTTATTTATTTCGCAAAACAGTAGTTCAGGAAGTGTTTGCAAATAGCCAACCTCCAATTAGCAACGTAGCGATGTTCTGGCAATGAATATCGCGCGGACGACTGAGGTTCGAGACTAAGAAATTTCTTAGTCTTGAAAAGTACAATTGTACTTTTTCTTTTTTTTATGTACAATACAAGCCCTACATATGAGAAAGTCATATCTTATAATTGGTTTTTAATAATTCATTGCGTCATAGCCAACCATGCTGAACTGACCATGTTCCTGCCAGCCAGACCCGCCTGACTTTGGCCTCCCATCCTAACCGTGTCGAACCTCGTACATCCAGAACTGGCCGATACGACCGCTCCTTTGCCCCGAGGGTGTCGAGCTTGTGGAACAAACTACAAGAGGATGCTTTTCCCAGTTCTACTAACCTTAGACAGTTCAAACATCGGATCAACAAAATTTCTTTAGGATCCTCATAGCAGCCGCGGTGTCACGGCATTTAGGCCTGGCCTGGGCCTGGGCGGCTGCTTCGGTATAAAAAAGGAGAAAATGAGTATTTTAAATATTTGTTAAACTACTATTTTGCGGAGTAGATAATCTTTTAAAAAACTATCCTTATCTTTATTGTCCAAGATGATGAGATTCTGTTTGAAAAAATGGACTTTCGGCATTTTTTACAATTCAATTTTTACCACCCTGTAAGAATAATTCAAAACATCGAATGAAGTCATTAAAGTAGACCTCCTTCTATAAGGGAGCAGTTACAAAAATATACGAAAAATTCATAGGCTTTTATGGATCTGCAGTTGTGATTTCTTACACAAAATTTGATATTTCTCAAAAAGTGTTAGTTATTTGAAATGTATACTCAGTGACGTTCGAAGTGTTACAACCAGAAAAAAATTCTTCAACATGATTTTTTGTCAATGAGGTGGTCTTACATTAAGAATTAAACATAACATTCTCACGAAATTATATTGACAAGTAATAAGAAAAAAAATTATAATGGGTTGGGGGACCCCGCAGCCGAATACACTCCTGCATCGACAAAATTAGATTGTCTTGCTCAAAAGGACGTGTGGATGCCCGTCTAGATACGGCAGTAAAGTGGTTTGTAGGACATCATGAACATTACGCGCGGCAATCATATTGCCTTGATCAAAGAAAAGGGGTGATTGGCTACCATAGGCAATAGCCCCCTAAACCATTACTCAAACAGTCCTGTGTACATGCCTCTCAACAGCAAACCCAATATCACGCCATTGTCCACGGCGGCGTCTTACCCTTCTACGAATATCGTGCGTACCTAAACAGAATCGCGATTCGTCGCTGAAGATGTCATTCTGCCTCCCAGTGTTGCCGTTTTCTGCTCCAGCTTAAACGTTGACGACAGTGGTCCGCTACTTTCTTCTATCCACACACGACACACATGCATTACCGTCATTGCAGTACAATTAACACGGCGGCCAATTTCGCGATAGGACAAACCAACATCTCGGTAGTCAATAATTTTACCACTGTCAAAGACGCTAACATGATGGTAATTTGGGTGTCTTCGAACTCAAGCCATTTTGTTGTGCTTAACATTAGTAAATGAAAGGGCAATAACTAAAAATATATGTACTACTCAGCTCTCAGAAACTGCTTTCTTCACAAAAACTAAGAGATAACATTTTACCCTGAATATTATGTATATCCATCACGTCTTTAAAAAAATACTTATCTTCTTTGTTGGTTAGAAAAAAAACCTGCTAACTATAAAGTAAGTGGGACTGAATTGGGTCAGATACTCGGACGTGAGGTTTCGCCTCGAAAAGACTTTGGCAGTACCGGTGGAAAAGATGAGTTGATGAATAGGTATCTTAGAAACCTACTTACTTAATTAGTTTTTCACTATGTTCACAACATTGCCTTGACCTATGACTCGTGTGTATGAGATTTTTGATCTTGCATGCTCCTATCAAAGTTCACGGTTTTGTTGTTTATTATTACATCACTTCAAGAGCTACTCCTAACTACACTACGTTTCCTTATCCAGAAAATGTATGTATGCTGCACTTCTATAGTTACAAGTTAATTTACAAAGTTTATGGCAGGGGAGGTTTGCTTACGTAATTTACCTGAGACAGTCTGATTTATGTGATTATTAAATAGTTATGGTATATGTTACATAATGTGATTAGTTTTGTTCGGCTTTGTAAATAGATATGACGTTGCTGCTGTACATTACCCGATGCACATTATCAGTGCAATAATCAACTCCTAGTAAAGCCTTGATAATACGTAGGTTTAACTGGCTCCATATCAAAATTTGTGACCAAAAGGAGGATAAAGTTCGAGGGGAAGATTTTTCGTAAAAAAAGAAACAAATACGCTTTAATTCATTAATACGAGGTCTATAAATTAAGCGCCCGATCTGGCAATGTAGCCTTCGATCTGACAATACTGGAGGCGCCGGGTTTGGAGGTAAGACAGGGGAACATATGATCCACCTTCGGTGCAAGTTTGAACTCGCTTGAGTCATTTGTCCATAGTGATTTTTTTGTGAAACAGTTTTTTCTACTGTGTTCTAAAAATGAACCACTTCAATTTCAAGCAACGGTATGCTATCAGGTTTTGCTTCAGACTTGGGCAGACTGCAACGGAAATACTATTGCTAAGCGTGTTTTGCCAAGAGCCCAGGTTTTTCGGTGGTTTGATCTGACACTTTTTGAGCGAAATCAAGAATTTTTTGCAGCGTTTGGAGAGAATAGAATTTTGAAAAGCTTAGAAAAACTATTATGGAGCTCAAAATTTTTCTTTCTTTAGCAAGACTTATTTTTGACTTACACTTATGTCAAGGATTTTCAATTTGTGCGTATCAAGTGACACTATTTTTTTCAGAATTCGGATTAATCAGCAATAGCCGAAGACGATTACAGTGTTTGTGCTTCTGGGGACTGTGCAAAAAGTCTGATAGCCATAGTCTCATTGAACTCATAAGATAATTTAATCTCTTTTAATTTTGAAATCTCAGCGGTATTGCAGTTGTAAGGAGGGTCAAAATAGGAAACATGCTATCATCACCTAGCCATATGAACTTAAAACGTAGCGCTTAAGGATTTATATTAATAATATTGATTTCGCCCTACCGACCAACGGTGGACTAACTATGTACAGCGCTGGTCATGCTTATTGGCAATCATAAACACCATCTGGGTCTCTAGGTAGGACAACGAACGGAACCAGAGCAAAGATAACCTCTACCGGTGGTTCATCAAAATACGATCGCACAAGTCGCAGCTGTTCCCTTTCAGAGCAATCGATTCTGACAATAGATGGTATACGTATTTTATAGTTTGACGTATGGCCCAACAATTTGGCTGAGATTGTGAATAAAAGTATAAAACGCACTTTTTTCATACGCCAAGGCACTTGTAAGCTGGAGGCGCATTGATATGACTGACACGGTGTTGCTCCACCCCTGGTAGGTTCTCAAAATTACGTCTCTGATTCATCCAGCTTGAAATGCTTCTTTC